CATTGGGACACCTGGTCCTTCCCTGCACGAGAGGCCTGACCCAGAGAGAGAAATAATTCAGAGGGTCTTTCTGAGCAGAGCTGAGGGTAGGCAGCCCTGGGGGCAGAGGTGGATGAGCTGGAAGCTGAGCTGACAGGCGCAGGGAAAGGCAGAAGGGCCAGCGTATTCTAGACAGAGGTAGCAGCCTGGGCAGAGGCGCAGGGACGTGAAACAGAACAGCCTGTTCTGGAAGCGGCAGGCAAACAAGAGGGAGGAGGAGCGGTGAGAGGGGAAGGCAGAAAACAGTGGACAAATGGCCTCGAACGTTGGGCCAGAAAGCTGAGTTGAGAGTGGCTTCTCAAACTCACCCGCCAGAGCCCAGCAGTGCCGTGGAGGAAGGAGGCGGCTGGGGAGGCGGAGAGCTGGCAAAGTGGTTCACTCAGAACTTGAGAGCATTTTAAAGACGAGGCTGGCTCTGTATTAAATGTTTGGGCAAGCTTTGCATTTGACTCCGAGAATATCCATGGGAGTTTTCTTACCGAAAAATTATTTTAAGCACTAACCATCGTGTGTCACTGGTGCTCTGGAAGACGGGCCTTGGCCGCCCAGGGGTTTTCACGGCCCGGCTAGGGAACAGCGCTGAGAACGAGGGGGACCATGGGCGCTCTTCACCGAGGAGCGGTTCAGTGGTTCCTGTGTGTTAGGCAACAAAATGGAAACGGAGAGCCGGAGTGGTGGGCTCTCAGGGTCCTCTAGTCAAAGGCTAGGGATGGGCAGGAAGGAGTGCTGTGTCTTGGCCTGCGTGGACGGTGGTAGGTGTGCAGGGCAGCGAGGTGACTCAGGTCCCAGCCCCCATCTTGCTAGCTAGTCGTCTTGGGTGAGGTGCGGCCCTCTGTCTCCTGCTCTAAACGGGAACCATCCTCCCTCCCTCGCAGGGCAGTTGTAATGGGCAATGGGGCTGGGCTTTCTCCGCCGCCCGGATCGCACAGCGCTACCACCTCCGCCCCCACCTCAGGGCAAGCTGCTTCCCTTGCCTGCAATGTTTTTCCCTCCTTCCTGAAGCTTCCACGTGCTGCTTATCCCAAGGGAATACCCAGGTCTAGCAGGACCCCGTCATGGCCGCACCTGATGAGACCATAAATCCTGCTTCCTGCCCTGTTCCCCACCACCAGCCTCCCCTCCCCCCACCGATCAACACTGCAGCAGCCCGGCCCCTGCCCTCCGTGTGACTCACCCTCAGGGCTCACAGCCTGGGATTGGGGCTGAGAGCGTTTTGTCCCCATTTTGCAGCTGGGAAGGTCGAAGCTCAGCAAGGCCCCGAGTCGCTGCCATCATGGGAATAATCAGGCTCCTGGGTCTAATACTTCTTTGGGAATTGTTGGATGAATGATCGCATGGATGAAAAATGCTTCCCCGATCAGCCCTTCTTTCTCTGCGGGGGGAAGTAGACTTCATTCTCCAGCTCTCCGGGTTGGAATGCTGTCTGGAGATTGATTTTAAAATTCGATACTAAGCCCATCAGGCAGAATGGGGCACAGGACAGTGAATAAGAACAGGGACTGTGACCCAGATAGTCTGGGCTCAAACCCTGGCTCCGTCTTCTCTTAGCTGCATGGTCTTGAGATGACTACTTACCTCCCTGAGCCTCAGTTCCCCCATCTGTGTAATAGGGGAGGGTAATAAAATAATAGCATCTTCCTCAGAAGGTAGGCTGTTTGAAAAGCACTGAAGAATTGTTTATTTGACAAACAGGCCCTGTCTATTTATATGTTATGGAAATAAACCTGTAAGTGTTGAATAACTAAACCTGTGATGCACGAGGCACTGGGGACACACAGAAGACAGACGCCTCCACTCACCGATGGCTCAGCTATCATCTCACTCGGTCTCCACGACTGCCCTGCGGGGGAGGGGCTCTCATGGTCCTCTTTCCGTAGTTGCAGCACGAGGCTCCCAAAGGTTAAGTTACTCCCCCAAAGCCACGAGGCTGCACTTGAACTCAGTCTATCTTGACAAACATACCCTACATCTCAACACTAGCAAAACTGTCGTAGTCTCTACCCTCAAGGGACTTCCATTCTTTGGGGGGAAAATAGACAAAGTATACAAAGAATAAACTGCACCTCAGAAGACTGCTATGGAGGCGTTTGGTGAAGGGCAGAGAACGGACATGGAGAACATAAACCCCAATGGGCTGTGCTGCCGGAAGGGTTAAGAAGCAGGCAGTAAGTTTGATGCTTGAAAAAAGGAGAGGGTATCTTTCCAAGGCCAGACTTACTGGTGGTTGAAAGGGATTCTCAGGAATAAAGGATTAGGGGTTTAGATCCAGGCCTATTCATTGTTGAACTCTAGGGGGCGTTGTTTAGTATGGTGCCCTTTGGAGCTGGGCACCCCAAGTCCTCAGAGACACTTTACTGGGAAGAGGGACCGCCTCTTGGGGGTGGAGGTATTTGTGTCCACAGACACACAGATCACACAGGAATTGCCATATGGCATTGTCAGCTTCCTCTGTGCGTGTGTGTGTGTGTGTGTGTGTGCAGACACGATGTCTAAAAAATCGTGCTCTTATTCCTTCCTCTTTAAAATAATTTCTCCTGGAACTCAGGGCCGAGGCCTTTTGACCACCAGTGTAGGGGTAGCAAAAGGTGTCTCCTGAGCCCTTTACAGGCAGGATTCCACCCACCCAGGTATACTGTGTGGAGCAAGAGGGAGAGAGAGGGAGAGAGAGAGAGAGGTACATAGTAGTCACTCAATAACGTTTTGTTGAATGAATGAATGAATGAATGACACCTTTCCTCTCAGCCCCTCTTTCTCTGAGGGAGGGGTAGACCTCACTCTTCAACTCTCCAGGTTCAAATGTAGCCTGGGGATAGAAAGCAAAACCAAACGAAATGTTTTGGTTAGAGGAGAAAAGGACACGGAATTGTTATTTCTCAGCATTTTTACAGATAAAAAGTTCGTTTCTTGGCTTAAGGAACCCAAGAGGGTATTATTAGGATGGAGTTATGCCATGGCCTAGAAAATGACAGAGCATTCTGAGTGGCAAAAAAATCTGTTTAAAAAATTGCACCCCAAAAATTTGCCCCGAAATTGTCTGTATGGGGGGAAGTTTCTGGGACAGTCCTGTCCGTACCCCCCAGGACTCGGGACACTGGGGTCCTTGCTGGTGTCCCCCACTACCTCAAACCCTGGAAGAATATTCAGTGCCACGGACTTCCCATTAATCCCCACCACCACCACCACGCTGGGCTGGGCGCTGGGCGGGGGAGAGGCCTCGCTCCCATGTAGAAAGGCAAAGGGAGGGCTTCCAGGCCACGCCTCTGCCTCCTGGGGGGCCCCCCAACCTGCCAGGGCCTGAGAGTTCTCTGAGGGTAGGCTGCCTGGACCAGGAGTTTCCGAGGACCTCTCTGGGCTTGAGGGTGGGTGGTTCAGACCCTGTGCTATGCTGGCCACGGGGCACAGTGCAAGAGTGGTGCAGGGGTGCGGGGCTGCAAGTAGTCGGGATCCACTGCCTCAAGCCCGGGCTCAGGAACAGGCCCAGAAACACCTGGATGGGGACAGAAGTGCAGAAGGGCAGAAGGAAGGAGTAGCAGCCAGTAGGCAGAGATGGAACCCAGGGCAGGGGAGGGAAAGATCAGCAGCTTGGGAGGTGGAGGGTGGGTGAGAGGGCAGGGGATTGGGTGCTGGAGTTGGAGTCCCCTCCCAGGACCTGCTCCTGGGGATGTCCTCAAAGGGGGCCCACACCAACCTCCACCTTTTCTACTTCCATCCACCTGCTTATCTCCTCTGCCCTCCGCACCCTGCTGTTCCCAGGCCAGGGCTAAGGAGGCCAGGGCCCTGCCCCTGCCCCTTCCCCTGGCCTTCCTGGGATCCTTCTCTGCCCAACCTTGGAGGGCTCCATGGAGGTCTCTTTGCCCTGAATCCGGCTTTGGGCGGTGGGTGAGCCCTCCAAGTCTTTGGGATCTTATCACGGGGATCTCGGGTGCTTGGGCTTCTTTGGCCCCCAATGGCGGGCATGTTCCCATTCCCTTCTTCTCCCCTCTTCCATTTTGCCTGGCTTTATAGAAGGAGAAAGCAGGTACAGGAACCAAGGGCCAGGTACCTGGAGATGGAGGTGCCCTGCCAGGTGTGGGGGCAGGGGACGCTTTGGTTTTCCCTCCCCCTGCAGGCAGGCTCCTCGGATCGCAAAGCCTGGATAGCCAGGATCACCTGAGCTCAGGCTGCGTGTTTAGAGCCCTGTGTCTCTGCAAGGCCCTTGTCTGTTTATACCAAACACAGAAGTCGGTGGGTGGGCACCGGGGGCTGGGGCTGTCTGTGTACAGTGAAAACAGGGGCGGATCACGAGGAAGGAAGCCCTCCCCCAGGGGAACTGTATTTGTTCGTAAACACAACCCAACCCATACCCTCCCCTGGAAAGAGGGAGGAGGGACAAAGAAACTCATCCCACTGGAGCTCCACTCCTTCTACTGCCCGGGGACCGGTCCCCCCCAGGCACACCCCTCTCCTCCCCACAGGCGGGCTTTCCCTCCCCAAGTTGTTTCCACAGCAAGCCGGACTATGTTCTGTAAACTCCAGTCCCCTGGCCAGGCGGCCCCAGCAAAGGGACAGGTGTCCTGCCATCACTGTACCTGTGTGTGGGAGTCAGAGGAGGGGAGGGTGCGAGGCCAGCGAGGGGCAAAGACCCTTCGCAGGTCCATGTGATGCTGTATGTCTGCTTGTCCTGTCCCCTGGGAGTGGTCAGATTCTTTCCATGGGTCACGAGGAGTGTCCAGGCCCATAGGTCTCAGGATTCCACGTGGCTCATGGGTCTGGGACCAATCTTGAAACCTCAGCATGCCCCTCATTGTCTCCCGGCCTCTTGGGGAATGGTGGGGGCATGGGCGTCCATCCTTGTGACTTCCTGTTGCTGTACCACCATCTCCCCTTCAAGTTAATGATTGGTAGGGAGCACTGAGGGACATCATTTCTTCATTAACCCCCAGCTTGGGCTGCCTAATAGTTCCATAGTTTCCTCAACCCCTGGGTGCTCAGCCAATCAGAGGCCCCAGGCCTCACCCCACCCTTTAGTGGGTTTGCTTCTGCATATAGAGGCTGAGGCCCCAGGTGGACAGCGCAGTGGTTCCAGCCCAACCCCCTGTGGAGCTGTCTGCCACACACCTGGCCCTGCTCCCTTTCCAAGATGCTGTTTTGGCACAACCAGCCGGAGCACCTGTGGCCCAGCCCTGGGGAACTGTACTCTGGGCCTCCAAGTAGCCTGCTCAGGTAAGGGCCAGACCTGCTTCCCTGGGTCCCCGGGAAAGGCCCTGTTCTGAGGTGTGGTGGACACGGTAGGGCCATCTGTTTCAGGTGGAGGGCGATGGGCTTCCTGCTCTTGGGTTCCTTGGAGGGTGGGCGGTGGTCAAATGTACCTGGAGTTTAGTGGGTCCTGGGCCACCTCAAAACCCTTTGACCACTACCTGCTCAGGATACTTTGGTTGGGCATTGACTTGATATCAGGCAAGCCCTAAGGTTGCAAACAAGTAATTGACTCCAACTGTTTGCAGATGTTTGGGAGTATCTGGGACTTGCATCTTTTTTTTTTAAGATTTTATTTATTTATTTTTAGACAGAGAGGAAGGGTGAGAGAAAGAGGGGAAGAAACATCAGTGTGTGGATGCGTTTCATGCACCCCCAACTGGGGACCTGGCCTACAACCCAGGCATGTGCCCTGGCTGGGAATTGAACCTGCGACCCTTTAGTTTACAGGCCAGTGCTCAATCCACTGAGCCACAACAGCCAGGGCTGGGACCTGCATCTTAAACGGGGGTCTCCCGGAGGCCACAGGAGCTGAAAGGGGGCCTGTCTGGCCCTGGCTGCTGCTAGAGTGCCTGGAGACAGGACCTGGCAGAGAGAGTCAGCCCCATAGGGGGTGGGGCGGATAGGGCAGAAAGCAGGCAGTGCTCTCCTCTCCCCGGCAGGGAGTCCCTGCCCTTGCCCTACCTGAAGCAGGAGGAGCTGCCCAACATCACCAGCTCAGAGCCTCCCAGCCCTGCATTCCAGTATGTGCTCTGTGCAGCCACCTCCCCAGCCGTGAAGCAGCAGGAAGAGGCCCTCACCTACCTGAACCAGGGTACGCTGGGCCTGGGAAGGAAAGGGGTTAGCAGAGCAGCCAGCTCTGGGGGCTGTGCCATGGTGGGCTGGGGAGGTGGGCACCATCTCTGCCCCTCAGAGTGGGGCTCATCCATCCCCTTAATCTCTCCCAGGCCAGTCCTACGAGGTACAGATGCTCTGCACCTCCAAGAACGGTGATGCCAGCCAGGGGCCCCGGCTGCTGAAGGTGGGTGCATCTCCTCCCAGATCTGGCAAAGGCTGGGTATGACTGTCCCTCTGGGCAGGAAGCCAGTGTCATCACTGTGATGTCATTGTCAAGTAGAACCCTCCCAAGTCCGCCTTTTAATTTGACCTTCATAGTGATGGGCAGGAATTGTTGAAACAACAGGCACAGAGAAGTTAAGTCAGGGGTGTCGAACTCATCCTCACCGGGGGCCACACCAGCCTTGCGGTGGCCTTCCAAGGGCCGAGTGTAATTTCAACTCCTTAACTATTAAGGAGTAGTCCCATGTACACAGTCCTAAAATGATCTCAGCCCTTCGAAGGCCACCATGAGGCCGGTGTGGCCCCCCGGTGAAGATGAGTTTGACACCCTTGGGCTAGGTGTTTCTCAAGGAAACAGAGTCAGTAAGTAGCAGAACTGGGATTTAGAAATAAGTTATTCACACATGATGCCTTGCCTCACAAAATTATTCACGTAGCTCCCATTTATTGCCAGAAACTGTTCTTCTCTGAGCTAGGGACTCAGCAGTAAAGAAACAGATGTAGTTCGTTTCCTCAGGGGGCTTGCATTCTACTGAGCGAGACAAATGTGTAATTGCACAAATTATATGTGATTAGAAGTTGATTTACAAATTGCAAATTGATAAATGCTGCAAAGAAAAGAGACGGGTCGAGTGACTAAGAGTGGGGAGGGATTAACCCCCCTATTTTACAGATGAGGAGACTGAGGCCCAGGGTCTCTAAGTTACTTACAGTTTGTGAGTGAGGGGCAGGTGGGCATCTGGACACAAACGCAGTGATTCTAAGACTTACGCCCATTGGGAGTGGGAAGCAAGTCCGGGGCAGGGAGGGTGGGATGGCTGGCCTACCCGGGTTCGGGAAGTGCTTCCCACACACCCAGGAACCCTCTGACCCATGCGCCACGCCCGCCTGCGCCCGCAGAGTGTGGCGCGGGTGGTGTTCCACGACCGGCGCCTGCAGTACACAGAGCAGCAGCAGCTGGATGGGTGGAGATGGAGCCGGCCCGGGGACCGCATCCTGGACATCGGTGAGTGGGGAGCGCCATGGACCCTTTGGGGCCACGCTCTGGCTTGGAAGCCCTTGTGGCTGGGGAGGTAGGAGCCTTGCTCCCCGCTTGCCACCTTGTGCCTGCAGATGTGCCGCTGTCTGTGGGGCTGATAGAACCTCAGGCGCCGCCCTCACAGCTCAACACCGTGGAGTTTCACTGGGACCCGGCCAAGAGGACCTCCCTCTTCCTGCAGGTGAGCCTGAAGCTGCCAGTCACGTGGAGGGGGCAGCAGCCGCAGTGGGAAAGGACGGGGAATTTCGGTGGGGGTGAGAGGACAAGAAGAAATCACTTCCAGAAAACACCTTGAGGAAAAAATATGGATGAAGGCTTATGGAATCTCATTATAAGGCAGGACCTGTCGAACATTAAAGCAACGGAAGAAACTACAAAACACAGGACGTAGCCTCATACAAAGTCATGGTCTGCAATACCTGGGCGAAATGGAGACACGAAATGTGAAAAACAGTTGCTAATGTATTATATCCTTGATACATAAAAAGTTTTCTTATATCAATAAGAAAACAATTGATGAAATCCCAGTAGAAAAATAGGTGAGGGGTGTAAGCAGACAGTTTATATAAGGATACCAAATGTAGACAGGTCAGCCTCATAAAATGATCATTAAGATTTCGAATACGTCATGGGGATGTAAAGTACGGCATAAGGAATGTAACCAATAATACTGTCGTAGCTATGTACGATGCCAGGTGGGGACTTGAATTACTGGGGGAGACCACCTCATAAATTATATAAGTGTCTACCGCTATGCTGTATGCCCAAAGGAATAAAAAAATAATATTGAATGTTGACTGTAATTGAAAAAGAATTTTTTAAAATATTTTATATATATAACTGTTCAAAGACTCAGAAAGCTGTGATTGGTAAGGCTGGGGAAACGGCTTTCTCCTTTCCTGAGAATGCAGACTGGTACGCCCACCCTGCAGGTGTGGCGGCCCTGACGTTTATTAAATTTAATATTCATACCTTTTTACCCAGTAGCTCCACTTAAAGAAATTTGTCCTGGGAAAGAAGTCTGGGAATAATCAAAATGCCCCTCAGGAGGGGGCTGACTTCTAAGTAAGTTTAGTACAGACTTACAGTGGAAACTGGGTAGCCATCAAAGTGATAACTCAGAAATAGTTCGTCACAAGAGAACTGCTTCCCTGTGTGTAAAGAATAGGCAGAATACAAACTCGTATTTCAAGTTTAATTTCTATTTTGTAAAAACCAAAAATGTGTGTGTGTGTGCGCACATGTGCACACAATTTCCCCTCATTTCTCGCCCAGAGAAAAGCCGGGAGGAGGCAATGCTTGAACGCCAGCAGTGTGTCCCCGAGGGGCGGAGTGATAGGAGAGGCCTGCATCCTTCTGTATTTTTCAGTGTTCCCCGCATTTGCTGTGTTGAGAAGATTTCCCTTCCTGATCAAACAATATTGTCCAAGTCACCTGTGAGTCCCTTTTTTGAGTGCCCACTGTGGTCTAAATGCCTGGACAAGGAGGCAGGCAGCTGTGGCTCAGTACCAGTTCCACCCCTTCCTAGAATGGACCTTGCCCAGGTCACATACTCTCTGGAAGCCTCCGTTTCCCCACTCTCAAAGTTCGACCCTATAACTGCTCTTCGCAGGATTGTGGGAGGGCTGTAGTGAGCAGCGGGTGTGAACAGAGGGAAGACCCTGGTTGCCCTTGGAATCTGGGTACTAAGAGGAGCCCAGAGGTTACAGGCCATGTGGGGAGCAGACCAGGAAGGCTTCCTGGAGTAGACTGCTAGATTTGGGGTGGAGTAAAGAAAAAAAAGCAGACACTCAGTTAAATTTGAATTTCTTTTTATTATTTTTTAAAGATTTTATTTATTTATTTTTAGAGAGGGAAGGGAAGGAGAGAGAGAGAGAGAGAGAGAGAGACGGAGAGAAACATCAATGTGCGGTTGCTGGGGGTCATGACCTGCAACCCAGGCATGTACCCTGACTGGGAATCGAACCTGCAACACTTTGGTTTGCAGCCCGCGCTCAATCCACTGAGCTACGCCAGCCAGGGCTAAATTTGAATTTTAGATAAAGATTTTTTTTTCAGTATATCTGATGTAATACATGGCACATACTTATACTAAAAAGTTATTTGTTGCCCTGGCTGGTATAGCTCAGTGGATTGAGCCTGGGCTGCGAACCAAAGGGTCGCCAGCTGATTCCAAGTCAGGGCACAGGCCGGGGTTGCGGGCCAGGTCTCCAGTATGGGGTGTGTGAAAGGCATTGAAACACATTGATGTTTCTCTCCCTCTCTTTCTCCTTTCCTTCCCCTCTGTCCAAAAATAAATACAATCTTTTTAAAAATTAATAAAAAATTATTTGTTGTTTATCTGAAGTGCAAATTTAACTGGGCATCCCTTATTTTAACTGGCAATCCCACCCTGTGATGGGTTGTCTTGGCTCAGACGTGAGCAGTGAGAGCTCTCCAGGGGGAGGGTCCCAGGGAGAGCGCTGCGGGAGTGCGGGGCGCAGGCTGCCTAGATGGGTCAGCGGGTTCATTATGGGCGAGAGCAGCCGTGCGGCGAGGCTTGACTTGACTCTGCTAGTGCTCCTGTGCCAGGGGCAGGAACTGTGCTTCTCATCCCGTAGCCTTGGGGAGCCGCTGAAGGATTCTGAACACGAGAAAGAACCTAGTCAAGTCGCCCTTTAAGCACAGACGTTGCTTGGGAATGGCAAGTGGCTGGCAGGTGACAGGCAGGCAAGAGGTTTTAGGTGGAATCCCTAGAAAGTAGGTGGGACCTGGAGTTGCACTGCTTCTTCCCCACCTCAGGTTCACTGCATCAGCACTGAGTTCACGCCTCGGAAGAAAGGTGGAGAGAAAGGTGTCCCCTTCCGCCTCCAGATTGACACTTTCAAGCCCAGTGACAAGGAGCTTCCACCTGAACACCTGCATTCAGCTGGCTGCCTCATCAAGGTGTTCAAGGTAAAGGCAGCGCTGGGTCCTCTCCCCGCTCCTTCTCAGGGCTTGTCACCCCGCCTTGCTGGCGGCATGGATTCTGGCTCAGTTGGCCGTGGGCCCTCAGCCTCCAGCCCCATCTCTGGAACCCTTCCCTTCTCTGCACACAGAGGCATGGGGCTTGATCTCTTTCTGAGAGTCCCTTCTGTAATGAGAAGTGTACAGGTCAGAGGGGCCTCCGAGGTCTCCATGCCTCCCTCTTGTAGCCCAAAGGAGCTGACCGCAAACTGAAAACTGACCGGGAGAAGATCGAGAAGCAGCCCCTGCACGAGAGGCACAAGTATCAGGCTGCCTGTGAGAGCACAGTCTTCGTGGAGGTGTGTTGGGGAGGCAGGGATGGGAAGAGAGGTTTGGCGGAAAGATCCTCATTGTACACCTGGGGAAACTGAGGCCTCACGGGCTGGCTGCGGCTACTCCAGGATGGTCACCCCCCTCTCTGTGATTCTACCCGCTCCCTGCAAAGACATTGTGCACCGTCTCTTCAAGACTTCCAGGAGCTGACACCTTCCAGGCTGCCTCTCCTGTGCCCTGCCATCACTGCCACCACATTTCTGCTCCCTCTGCCTGGAGCACCTCCCTTGCTGCTGCTGCTTCTGGCTAGCTCTCCTAGGAAGTCTGCCCCAACCCTCCCAGCCAGACCTACAGGCTAGTGTTCTCTCTTCCTGCGTGTGGAAACTTAATCTGCTTGTCACGGACTCCTAGGGCAGGGACCAAGTCTGGCCCAAGGGAGACACCTTGTCAGCTGTTGACAGACAGGGGAGGTGAGGGACAGCCACCACTGCCCTCAGGCTGTCTGGGCCAAACGCTGCTGTTTGCCCACAGTGTTCACCGTGGCCAGAGCCCAGTGCAGGACCCTACCAGGCTCTCAGCCCTCTGGCTCTGACCTCCCCCCACTCCTGCAAGCTCCTGTCCCCAGAGAGGTGAGTGGGGATGAACACTGCCTACCAGGCCTTTGGGGTGAGAGTGAAGAGAAGACATCGGGGAGGGGAGGGGAGGGCCGAGAGGTGGTGTGCTGAGGCTGGGGGAGAGGCTCAGCCCTGTGCTCTCGGGAACAAGTGGGATGACACCTGGCCAGCTCTGCCTCCCAGGGCAGGCAGAGGGCTGCACTGCTCCGAAGAGCCCCTGACTTTCTACTCCCCCACAGGTTCTGCTGCTCACCCCCATTCATCGTGGACACGTTCGGGGGCAGCCCAGCTGAGGTGAGCTTTTCCTTTCCAATTATCCACTCTCTGTCCTAAAGCCTTCTCAGCAGCTTCATCTCACGCTCCGGAGTAGGGTGGCCCTGCCCCCTGGTGGACAGATGTGGTATGGCCAACAGGTCACAAAACTTCCCTGATGGGAGGGGGCACTTCCCACCGGCAGGATGAGCCTTTCCTCAGACTCGGGGCCCCTGAGGGCGGGGCTCTGTCCCTTATCCCTTTTTCTCAGTCTGTGGGTCCATGGGGTTACCAAGGCTGCCTTCTTTATATCTCAGGACCTGAACCCTGGAGCTTCCGTCCTAGAGACGCAGCAGTGGTTACACTGGCACAGGTTCTCCAGCTACTGCCGGACTCTAGCCAATTTCACTGGTGAGGCTGTAGGGGACTGAGGTTGGGACACTCAGCAGGAAGCCGGCCTCTGTCCTGGCTTCTCTGTGCCCTTCAATTAACTTCTATTGAGGGCTAAGTGTTGCCAGGTACCATGCATGCCAGGTTCTCTTCTATCCTTCTATATAATTTACACACTACCCATTGAGGACAGAGCTCAGAAAGGTCAAGTGACTTGCCCAAGGATGCACAACCAGCAAGCAGCAGAGCGGGGGGTTTGAATCTAAGTCTGACTCTCCGGGGATACGAGGGCTATCTGCAGACTAACATCGGATGGTGTCTCTTGCCAACCGTGTTCCCAGGCCTCTTCCCCCAACCTGGCCCTGTCTGCCTCTGCAGGCACTGATCTGATGAAGCTTTCCCGGCAGGACCTGATCCAGATCTGCGGGGCTGCCGACGGGATCCGCCTTTTCAATACTCTCAGAGCCAGGTGCTGGGCACTGCCAACCAGGGTCCCTTCCCACTCTGGTGGCACCTGCCACTTCAGCTAGGAGTCATGTTTTGTAGAATGTTCAAGTCAAGGGGCAATCTTAAAGGATCCTTATTCCACAGAGGAAGAAACTCTGGCCCAGAGAGGACACTGGCCTGCCTGAAGGCACAGAACAGGCTGGCAGGGCTGGGCTGACACGTTAGGCCCCTGGACTTCTGTGGCCGTCCCATGTGCTTCACTCAATTTCTGGGGACAATTAGATTTTGCTCACCTTCTATCCCCCAGGATCCAGCATTCATTAAATGCTGGAGAAATGCTTCATGTTTTTTTTTCCTCCCTGGAGACCTGGGAGGAGGCAGGGTCTCTCCCAGGGATGGGGGCTCAAAGGGGGAGCTGTTAGTTGGGATATGAAGGGCTGATACTCAGACTGTTTTCCTGGCCCAGGCCCATCCGTCACCGGCTGACTTTGTATGTGGCTCAGGAGGCCTCTAGGCAAGACAATGAGGTTTCTAAGAACCCCGACTCAGGTGAGGTTCTGGACTCTCTCTCCAGAAGAAATTCAGGTGTGGCTGCATTAAATCTCTGCTGGTTTGGGGAGAGGGTGAAGGCCCACCACTCCTGGGACCCAGGGGGCCCTCCTTAGGATTCCCTGCCTGCCATGACCAGATCAGCCCTCTTTCCAGGACGTCTTGCTGGGTTTATTCCTCCGTGTTTCCTCCCTAACCCTGTTTGATTTTGCTTATTCGTATGTGGGATCACAACATTCTAATCCTTTTAGCGTACTTGGGCTTCAGTCATACGTAGATGTCCCGTCTCCTCTTTCAACCGGGGGCGCCCCTCAGTCTGAGGCCTCCCCAAAGACGAGGAATAGGTGAAGACTAAGTGGGTCCAAAGCCTTTTTCCTTCCTCCCTCTTCCTCCTCACCCCCACCCCCTCCTGGTACCCGGGGCCACCCCTGAAGCCCCTCCCCCACTAACCCCCTGCACTTGTGCTACTCACACCCCAGGCTTTTATCAAGAGATTTCTCTGGATGAACTCAGCACCATAGAGCTGATGGGGAAACTGGCAGAGCTCCTGGCACTCCCGGCCAACCAGATCCATCGCCTCTTCCACCAGGGCCCTGGGGGGATTCTCATTCTCCTCAGCGACCAGGTAAAGGGGTGGCGCTGCCCTACACACAGACCCACGAGGGCCTGGCTCACCTGTTTCCCTCTCTCTACCCTGGCCTATCCTGTTTGGCTGTAAGGACCGAATTGTCCCAGTGACCCCTTCTCCCTTGCAGGTGGTTCAGAATCTTAAGGATGAATCATACTTTGTGGCTGTGGTGAAGAAAGGTAGGGGTTTTAGAGGGAGATGCTAGCTTTTTGTCACAGGGGGAGATTCATGTAGCTAAAAGCTATTTATTGCTCAGGAAAACCATGACTGGAAAAACAGGCATTCTCATGACGGGGGAAAAAAGTGCCCCAGTTTCTGTTAGGGAGTTTGTTATTACAAAGGAAGACGCTGTTTCTCTTCTGCCCCACCCAACCTGCAACAATCACACGAGGCAGGAGGGCAGGTGCTTGCTGACCGGTCAGCTGGTAGTTCTGGTTATTTGGATGCCCACTCCCCCCCCACCCCCATCCCCCATGATGCTCCAGTCCACAGGCGGCTCCCTAGAAAACATGGCTTTGAAAGAACAGTTGGGTGTGGAAGCCTGCTGCAGCAGCAGCGGTGGTTGAGGGTCGGCCCCAACCCAGCGGTGCCCTTTTTACTGCTTTCAGTGCAGAATCCAGATGGCTACTACCTGGTTCTGACCTAGGTCCGGGGCGCCCTGCAGCAGCAGACTGACGCCAGCCTGGTTCTCCCGGGCTGCATTCACCAGGCTCCAGTCCAGGTGAAGAGCCAAACCACCCTGTGTCCTCCCCCTGGGGAGGAGCCAGCAGCCCCCAGGCTCACATTTCTTCTGCTTAGCACCCACAGTTGCTGGACTCTGGGACCCAGCTTCTCAAGAGGAGCTGAGCTGGCCAGGCCTGGGGCAAAACACCCAGGAAATGGTTTTGATGATGAGCTTTTGCCCCTTATTTTGTGTTTAAAATTCTACTTATCCCTTTCATTTTTGCAAACACACACACACACACACACACACACACACACACACACACACACACATTAAATGCTTGTTCAACTTTCTTGGTGGAACAGTTCTCTTGGAGAAATGTCCTCGGCCTAAACGGTGGACTAGGGCGAGCGACGGACTCTGGGACAAACGAACAAATCAATGTGGCTGGATTTTTTTTTTTTTCAACTAGTTCCGTCAAAAACTATTCAGCCTCCAAAAGGCCATTCAACTATCACTGTGCTCATCTGACTGTGGTTCTAGATATCTGGGAAATACCATAGCTATTCTTGAACATTGAGGCCATAGGGTTTCATTTTTAAAATGTAATTGAATTTATTAATCTTCTAATTTTTAGGTCTTAAGAAGTCTTTCCCTATGTTAAAGTCATAAACATTTTTCCAAGTTTTATTTTAATTTTGCATTTTACTTTTGGGTCTGTAATCCACCTGAAACTGATTTTTTGGTGGATATTTCTCCAAGTAGAAATTTTTACATTAAGTGCTTTTTAAAGTGATACTAGGCCATATCTTACTCTTACTTTTCATCCCTTCTCTCAAAATGTTTACCATTTCAAACATACCGAATTGGGAAAAACCACATGCACCGAGTAGAAAACAGGCCAAGGCACCTTCTTAAAGATTACCTGCTTAATTTCTTATTATTAATAATTACCATTTACTGACCATCTTTGGTGAGCTTTAAACCAGACAGCCTCTGGCTAGGGAGGCTGGGAAGGAGGCTGGCTCTAAACATTGGCTGAACTAAGAGTGGACGGGGAAGGGAAGTCTACTTACCCCTGGAGACCACTAAGTGCCTCCCTCAACATTCAGGGATGATTCAATATGGAAAACTGAGCGGGCACCTGCTCGTACCCCTGGAAGGGACCCCGTTGGCCTCATGTAGATGACCAGTTCACACCGGGCCTTTGCCTTGTGCAGGATCAATCGATTTCAAGCGGGGCCTGTAAGCCCACAGGGCTGCCCAGGGGTGTCTCACGGCAGGACAGACGCCCTGAGGTTTAAGTTCAGATGGCAGGGCTGGCTCCACTGCGCACCTCCACCAAAAGGACAGAGACCCCATATCATTAACCTCTGTGTATCTCTCAACCTAGGAGCCTCTAACACAGACCAGACACTGAAATTACTTGCTGAAATGAAGTGAATAAAAGCAGGTAACATGTGTTTACAGCGTGCCATTATTAACTCTTTCAATCGTCACAATTCTAAGTACCGTTACCGCTACTTTAACAGTGAGATGGGACGCCTGGCTTTCGGGTGGAAGCCGGGCGATGGGACTTGGGAGTTCGTGCGTCCAGCCATCTCACTGCCCCGTCTGCACTCCTTCCTAGCCTAGGTAAGGGCATCCCTCAGCACAGGTGAGGGACTCGGGTTGAACTCTTAGTATCAAAGTAAGACAAGAATTTTCAGAAACGGATTTATATGTCTCTTGTTTTTCTTAAACACATTGAAGGTATTAAAAAAGGCTATTAATGAGCTATTAAATAAAGATGATTAGTTACATAATATTTAAAAATATAAGGATGCCAAAAGAAGCCCCTTCATTCAGCCTCAGGAGCCTCTGCAGTTCTAGGGTTCAAGAAAGTTAAGAATCACAGCTCCAAGTCAAGCTATTTCCGCAGCAAAATGAAAAGTCTTCACAGCTTATTTCCTTTAATTACATCATAAAACAAAATTAGAACATACAGGAAACAATAATAGTTACATAACAATTTATATATTTATATATAAAAACATTTCTTTTTAGTCCAAAGATTTTAAAGCAGAAGGAATCCTCTACTGCCACCTTGGATTTTATTTTGAGTAACGCTCCCTCCCCTGCAACCTCAAGTGCCAAAAGTATGGGGTGGAAACAGTCACTTGGAAAGCTAATGGAACCTGGTGTGAAGTCACCACGTAGGGGACCGTGTTGGTCCCAGGGACCGGCTGGCTAAGTGCTGGGCAGGCCTGGTGGAGACGGAAAGCAGCAGCGCCCACACTTGGAGGCACTCCAGGGTAGGCCTCGGCCAGACAGCGGTGTTTGGGATCAGACACTCCCAGTCAACTTCTCTGCATTTTCCCCCTCAAGGGCTGGGATCAGAGAGGGGCAGGGGCGGGGGCTGGGGGGGAGCGGCGGGTGGTGGAAGAGCCTGGTTTGAAGACACAAATGTCTCCCACAGCACCATTTACCCATCTTATCTCTGTCCCCAAGCAGAGTCTGCCGGGCAGGGACTGTCCTCAAAGTGCTCTGAGCACCGCACAGGCCTCCTTCTCAGGTCTGTGCTCTCAGGACCACTGCAAGGGGGGCAAAGGGGGGAGAGCAGCTGGGAAATGCCCAAGGCAGGTTACTTGGAAGTGATTCCTGGGAGGAAGATGGAGGCGACCAGAGTGGGAGGCATCTGAAGGCTGAGTCATGAAACAGGAATGGAGAAAGGCAAAACTAAAAAGTAACCCTCAGTGCTGGGCAGCCAGAGCCGCAGGGGCCGGCTCCAAGAGCTGCGACGAGTTGAGAAAAAACACAAGTAGCTTCTGATGAGCCCCATCCCACAGAAGTCATAGAGGTCAGTGTGTAATTCAGGGCCAGGAGGGAAGGGGAGTGAGAGAAGAAATCTCAGGCTCGCCTCTCCCTGCACTTACTAGAAATTAACAGTCACCAGAGAAGAACAGATAAATTATTCTTAAGGGAAGGAGAAAACTCGTAAACCCAGAAGAGCAGCAGCAAAGGTTTCACTTATTACAGATCTATTATATAGCACTAGGAAAGAAAATCATTCAAGTCTTTAGGGAGGAAAGGTAAAGTAATCAAACCATGCCATTTAGAAACTCCTTTTCAAGTAGGATTTTCTAAGACTTTAGGTTCTCATTCACTAGTGCCTTAAAAACAAAACAGTGACTTCAGGTGCTGAGAAGGGTTAGACCAAGGTCAGAAACATACATGTGTGTGAACAGCAGTGCAGTACAGATCTGAATTAATAAGAGACAGTAGTAAGAGACAATGACAAGCGAAACTTAGTGGGGCAAAGTCCTTCTTCCACTTTAATTAACAAAAAAAGACATCACTTCAAGGGTTTCCTTGGGTTCTTGGGGTATGGCATAAGAGGAAAGGCATGTCTGGACGCCTCTCTCCCACCTCTTTTTGGGGTGGGGACTCACATTGCCCACCTGCGCTCGCCCCGGTGAACGCCGTGCCCAGCAGCGGCTGGGAAGCCCCGGGGGTTCTCTTTCTGTGGTGCAGGCCCCCCCGAGTGGGTGACTCTGGTTAGGCGTGTGGAAAGCAGCTCTCACTGCCAGTAGAAACGGTACGGACCCATTCATTCGCATGTGAAGCGGCTGTTTCTGTATGTTCAGAGCAGATGCTCATATCTGAAGCAAAGCACTCCAGTTCCGGAACTGATTCTCTCCTTTACTTTAAAAATCTCACCTACCATTTTCCCACCCCGATTTTTCAAAATGAGACACTAAAAAAAACGGGGTCAGTCGATACCATTCCGGCTGCTCACGGTTCTTTTCCCAAAGGGGCGGTGAACCAGGCTGGTGGAGGAAGCACTGAGGGCCAACACCCGGGAATCCAGTTCTACCGGGGCCAACTCAGAACACGCGCGAAGTGGAGGCGCAAGGAGTGCATTATGGAAGTCCTCTTAACATCCCACATGTGAGCTTGTCCGGTACATTTTTTTCTGCTGAAAATTGAGTGTAACTCTCTCGGGCTCCAAAGATTCACTGACTCAGCTGAGAGGTTTTTATTAACTTTCTTAAGGATCAGATGCTTCAGAAAAGTGCAACTGATGCTCCTAAGCATAAAAATGGACAAAATAGGCAGACTTGCCCTGAGTGGGGAGCTGCAAAAGCCCCTCGGGCAGAAAACTCACTTGCCTCGATGGTAGTTTCTGGCAGACACAAGGTCCCAAGCGACAAGGCAAGCTTAGAGGGACACTGTTTGCTAGAGAACCAAGATGGTAAGTTAGGGCATCTGGAGATAGCAAATACAGCCAAATGTTATTAATCATACACTGCTGACATGGTCTTTTTCTATCCTCCAATGTTACAATTAAAATTTATGATAGAAATAAAGGTGAGGCAAGGCGGAGACTCCATATTTCCCCTCACTCTCCTACTGCTTTAGGGTTCTTTGCTCCTAGATCACTGTAAGAGGAAGGGCTCTGCTTCAAGTCCAGCCAAACATCCTAAACCTCTTCTCAAACAAAACTTGGCTAAGTCACGTGGCCTGGGTTTGAGGTGGGTCAAGTTCCTAGAACTGGTGGGCAGACAGACAAGGCAATCTTTTCATAAAATGTTCCAGAAGCTCAAAGCATACCACTGAGAGTCTGTCGGCAGGATCCACAACAGGGACAGAAACCTACCCTTACACGTCATGCACGCAAGGAGCGGAAGGCAGACCAGATCGACCTCCTCTCTCCCAGGTGGCGGTCACAAGCAGTCCGTGACTTTCAGCACAGCACATATTAAATGGCCAAGGGTCTGCAACTATGACGGGCAAGTGTTCTGTCTCTCCAGAACAATCCAGTCCCCTAAGGGGATGCTGCCAATACAGATGGCAGGGAACCGCTCCTTTCTTCCCAGTGACACCATTGTATTTCCCAACAGCTTCAAACCGAGACAGGCGCCATCGCAACCTTCATCTAGCCGCCCACGGCGTTCGTGAGCTATCACACCAGTAACAACACATTTCATGAGGCAATTAGAATATAAGAACTTGATTGCGATAGCATTATAGCTATATTGACTGTTCAGTTTGGAAAGCCCAAAATAAAGCATCATAAAAATATTCACCAGGTATCCCTCTAAGATGTGTGATACAAGGAAGACGTAAAACTTCTAATTTATGTCTGCTAAATAAACTCATTTCATGAACGTGGACATTTACAAAACACATTTAAGAAATACTTTTACATCCACTAGAGAGCAGAGCAGGAGAAAACCCTTTTTACATGAAGTACAACGTACTTTCATATTCCAAATATTGGAGAAAAAAATGAAGCCACATCCCCTTTAACCGCTCACTTCCAGGTTTGATTTCAAATTCAGTAAGCAAACATCAAAGCGCACCCAGTGCTACATACTCGGCCCGGGCCGCACCAGTCACTGCAGGCAAGGCTGCCCAGGAGTCTGCCTGGGGCAGGACGAGGACCCACGGAGGAAGCCAGACTGGCGAACTCAGGGACAAGCAGCATTACTGGGGGTGAGAGGGAGGCTTTAAACAGACAGTGAGGATGGGTGTAAGAAGGACATGGCAAAAGTCAATTAAGAAAAATAGCTGGAATCACTTTGATAGGGCCAATGAAGAGGATGTAGAAGATACTGATGTAGCAAATGATGCTGGAAAATGTAAGGGGAGAAAGGCTGCTCGGAAAAACGATGATCTGGATGTTTAGTAACTCTCTGCAGAGGACACTGCAATAATCCTCCTGGCTATCGGCAGGTTTATGGCAATGACTTTGAAGGTACCTTCTTACTTCTTCCAACTCTCTTCTCTGCTCACGCTGCAGTTTTTCATTATGGAAGGCATAGTGTGGAGGGGCTCTGGAGTCAGACAAATGGAACAGTAAGCTTTTCCTAAGGAGACTTACACCTGGGAAGCCTTACTAAATTTTCAGAAGTGTCCCCGATGTTGAAACAGGAAGACATCAGGACCCTTTCCACCTGACCAAAACTTACCATGTTCTGGGTTCTCAAAGTCCTGGTACATTGCATCAGCTGGCTGGCATAGGTTGCAGATTGGCATAAAAAAACATATTTCCTTCCAAGCCTGATGGGCCTGAAGTTTTCTTGAGAAAGGAACAAATCTCCTGCCTGACCACATACTGCTGCGTGCCCCAGGCTTTTATTCTGTCACTTGGCTGTTCTCTGCCCAGACAGGGAGGGGTGGCCTGGGCAAGTCCACATGGCCCTGTACATGGGTACACTCTCTGAGGACAGAAACAGCATTTCCAGGACATTCAGCCCTGGTGAGTAGGGTCTTTTAAACTTATGTGTACTTTTTCAAGTAAAGAAGTACCTTTACAGTCTCAACTATTTGGTAATTCAAATCCACACTCACTGATCAATCAGGGTTTTATAGTCAATTTGTTCAGACACTATAAAAAAATTATGTTGGAGCAGATGGCTCCTAAATATTACTTTTTAGTTTTGTTTGAATGAGTAACCCGGGGATCCAAATGTCATGAACTACATCTGGAAGTGTGTGTACAAGTATATACATTGATATGTGTGGGGTATAGCCAGGAGAGTGAGTCTCACTTTAAAAAGCATGTTTCTTACACTGTAATTTGAAAACAGGATAAGGGGAAATGGGAATGAAAACTGTAAGTAATTTGAGTTTTTAAAAGAGAATAATTAAATAGAATTTAAAATAAATATAACATTAAATACTGATGGGTCAATACACATTTCTAAGACCCTTTCATGTGACTGCCTGGGAGGAAATAAATCACATGTAACTCACACACGTTTGTTGCACTCGAAGCACTGAAACAAGTCTTTTAACCGTCTGGGTCATGCAGATGATCTACTATCACGGGGGGCTGCACACCAATGTTTTAAAAGGCAAAAAAAGGTCAACCTATTAAAAAATCATACAAGCTTTCTAACCTTGGGGTTTAGAAATCTACCTGTACTACTTTAGAAACTCATTTAACTCATCCAGCACGATTTTTGGGGTGGGGGAGGGGAAGCTTCTTTGACTGAGACACGAGCACTGAATATTCTACCTTGCCCTCAGGTCTGATAACCAGGCTGGGCAGAGGCACTGAACCCCTTACTTCCTCTTTTTGCTGCCCCAATTTCTCCATCTGCCTACACTTGTATTTCATTCATGGGAAGTCTGGAGCACAAGAGAGATATGGATGACAAGTTCTGAAAAGGTTCTGGTCCTTTGAGGCTTCGATATTAGATATGATACCGCCAACACTGACCTGCAGTTGACCAGCTGTTACAGGGTCATTCTTGCATTCCTGATGGGCTGAAACGGGGGTGTGGGGGAGACTGACGAGCTAGACGGTACAGCTGCTCTACCAGCATTCCTGGTAAAAGAAAACTACCTCACAGACCCAAATCAGAGATGTCACTGATCATGCCAAGATTTCAGGGAACACGTGACATGTCTGAGCTTGGGTGGCGGTGGCTTTTGGGCTCAGTTTTGGGATTTGCCATTCCACTCTTTGCTAGTAATGCGTTTTGCTTTCCTCATTAAGCCAGTGGGACTTGACGGAGGAAAAGGTGTGCAGGGGAATACTGGGCATACTATGCATATCACAGAGCACACGATGTAACAGAAACCAAAGGGCAAAGTTTACTTTCATCAAAATAGTTTTAGCTCAAATTCTTTTCATAACTTTTCTTGCTTCTGTAACAGTTTCCCTTCAGACTGGCAAAGATTCAGGCAGGGTCCCCTAATGGTAAAATTTAGAATTAAAAAAATATTTATTGATAATGGCTCTTTTAAAAATGTTTGGTAACCCCAACTAATCATCCAAAATGCAAACTGTAAACACAACAGCAAAAGAGTAACAACTGTGAGCAGGCAGACTAGGAACAGATGACAGACTGAGCGAGGGTGCAGGAGGGAGCAACGGAGGACACAGGTGCACAAGAGTGCTACAGAGAGCGACAATTTGAGTGAATAAGTAATCACATTTGGACCACAGTGATTTCAATGCAGTCATTTAGGAAACCTCTGGGCCAAACACTAAAACAGAAGGTGGAAGGGAGGAGCCTTCTTTGTGAGCATGCTCAGCATGTTGGCATGGGAACGAGGAAGCACGGAAGCTGTGTAGTCATCTCACAATGGATGGCTACCATTTATAGGATGCAAAGAAATTTCCTTTCTGGTCCCTGGACATAACATATATTGTTTTTCTATGCTTTCCTTGACCCTGGAGGACTGCAGTTGCTTTTCCAAATTTGCCAAAGAAACCCCTTAACAAAATAAAGAAACTGCAGTAGCAGTAACACTGGGTTGCTGGAATGCCCCCTTCCCCTACCTCGCCTGTAATTTTCTTCTGGGTACATCCAACAGGAATGGTAAAGTGTTACCAATCCACTTGTTAAAGCCAGCACGATCTTCAGTCCCCCGGTCACAGAGCTAGAATGGGTGGGGTGAGCGTGGGTATGTGTGTGTACGTGTGGCTCTGGGGATCTGGATGCTGCCTCACTTTGTAACCCTTGCCCAGAACACTGGGGTCGCTTCCACTGGAGACTCCACGGTAACTCTAGAAGTGTCATTAAATACTCAGTTCGCCAAAGTTGACCACCTCCACTGTCATAGGATGATGCAGCATCTGCAGAAGCGCTGTCTGCTGCCCCCTACTGATGGGGGTGGAGTGACAGGTGCGAAGTAGGCGTGGACTTTAATATTGGGTAAATGGGTCTGAAACAAGACAGAAACATTACTAAGAGAGAGGGCTTAAACAGAAAGAGCAATGTTGCTTTTCAGAAAAAACACTGAGGGGCTGAGTGGCCATGAAAGCAGGCCAGAAGCTGAACACTAGCAGCCAGACGTCGAGAGGCCTGAGTTCTATTCTGTATCCCACATTGTTCTAAATGACTAACTCACCTTGCATAACTTTGGCACCTGCTTCCATAACATTACAATGGGGGAAAAACTTCCTATCAGTTTCTTAACCTGTGCCAAAGGAGATTCCTCGTTTGGTTCCCATAGTTGAAATAAACTATATAAGCTTAAAGTACGATTTTATTCCAAGTCACTATAGACAATATTTCCTCTGATATTTAAAAAACCAAAGTTCCCTCTTTTAACAATATGCTTCTAGTTTTTACTACACGAATAGTTTCTGAATAACTACTATGTTCAAGGCACTGTACTAGTTACATTAGAGGGGTACAAAGACGGTCAAGATGAAGAATCCTGCTCTTAGGGACCTTACAGTCCGGACGTGCACATAAACAGCTAAGTTCAAGTGGAAGAGGTGGTAAGGGACCTGAAGAGCATATAAAGACTCTGAAGATTCAGAGACAGAAGAGGCTCCCGACAGCCAGGAACCCAGTACGAGTGGGCCACAGAAGAGGCTGTGGCTGACCTGCGGCTCTCCTCTTTGCGAGCAGGAGAAACCTGGCTGCAAGGAGTCCCCACTGCAGTCGTGCTCAGTCGTGCAGGTCTGATGGGGGAGGCGGGACTGGGGCCAAGCGGAAATCAAGGTGAGAGCTGGTGCGCCTTTACATGATCGGGTGCCACTTGGCCAACATGGAATTTTTTAAGAGGTTGGTTGTAAGTGATAACTAAGCACAGTGCCTTTCTCACAGCAGGTGTGAAGCAGATGTTCCAATAAATGTCTGTTGAGCTGAATATTCTAATGCACAGATTCATCTAGCCTTTTACAACCTCCTTGCTGGCAACCTGTCTTCCGATCATTTGGCTATACATGGGTGTCTCTACTACGGTGGGGCACAAAGAAAAAGGGAGAAAATTACCTGATCCATTTGTTGTCTTAAAAATTAAAAACCCCAATAAAAGGGGTTGATGTGAAAGGAAATACAAATTAAATTATTAAATCTTATTTAACTAAGTATTTTCTTTATTTCTCTCTTTCCTTTAGAACCAAAACCTGGCATACGCTTTAGACTCCAGCCATGTTATTCAAGTCTGGACATCACTGGAGAAACTCTGCTGGGAAGAGGCCTCCTTGTCTCCCCTTCGGGGGGTATTTTCCTACTGAATTTCCAGCTGAAACTATCTGCCTTTAGGTTTGTCCTCCACTTTTCCCCCTTTGCTAAATGTCTACGTAAATGTAATAATTGCAGGAATCTAAATCTAAAAAAATAAAAGGAGGAAAGGGTGCCGAGAACAAGAAAGCCGGAGAGTGAGGCAGCCATCTTTACCCTGAGTCTCTTGATTCCAGCCCGAGTGATTTGCTGGCAGTCATAGAGTTCTATCCGCTCAAGGCTGTGGCAGCTCTTCAAGTGCTCCAGGGACGCGTCTGTGATTAGTGGGCAGTTGTCCAGTTCAATCACCTCCAGCTGGTCATGAGCGCAGGCCCCATTCCCCAGGTGACGAATTCCATCGTCTGTGATCAGCTCACAGTGAGACAGACTCTGCGGCCAAACAGAGCAAGGAAGGACACTGAAATACCTTATGGCATCCTTCTAGCCAGAGGCCTGTCTACCCTCAGAGAGGAGACCTTTCTGGTTTGATTTTGATGTATGTGGAACCATCACTAGACCCACGCGGTAAAGTGAAGAAAGCAAACTAGAGTTGCCAGGGTCCTGCTTTTGACAATGATCCACATTTCTGTGTGATTCAAAATATACTTTGCGAATTCACGTAACGACTGTGAAACAGTTCCATAAACAAAGAAAGATTATCTCCCCCAAAGACAAATGAACACTTTTCTTCTTTACATGAACAAGCAGGGCTCAAGCTTTTCCTACACCAATATTTCTGGAATTTGGACTAAATATTGATCACCTGGTACAGGGGGATGCCCAGTTAATTAAATAAAGTTGGTTCTTACAGCTGTCAGGTGTGGTCCTCTCTTCACATAAATCCCTTCACTTTATCAATTTTCCTTAAGACCTTCATTTATTTCTACACGTGAAAACTCAAAACCCTTTACCCAATTTTGGACAGTAAAGTGTCACCAAATACACCAAAAACAAACCTAGATACAGAATGGTCAGCCAGAAGTCTGCCCCACAGTGTTACTAGAAACAGTAGCAGAGAACTCCCTGCAGTAAAGTCTTGATTGCTTTTGTTTTGGTCTCAAGGTGAAGCAAACTATGTTTTGGGCCATCTTGTCCCTGGGACCTCTCGAAACTGAACCATCATTCAGTTTAGAGAGTAATTCATGGGCGAGAGAGAACTCATACTTTCCACTTCAGTTTTCAGTCTCCAAGGTTGTTTTTTTAAAACAATCTCTAAGTACTGATAAAGAAAACATTTAAATTTTCAGTTCCTTCCTTGGTCCTCTATAAGTTGGCAATTTGGAAAAACGTACTCTCCCCAAACGGTAGCCAGACACCAAGAGGAAAGCAAGAGCTGGGTTTTGATTAAATCTAATAAACATAAAATTTTCCGAGTCAAACTCACCAATACTTGAAGTCGAGGACAGTGTATAGAAAGCTGGATTAATGTGCTATCTGTTATCTGAAAGAAACATGTAGGTTTATTTTAGGTGTAATTTCAAACAAACTCATGGCTTGTACCTCATTCTTGACTACACATGTAATCTAAACTGGTATCTGATTGATAAAACTATCAAATAATGAAATCTTGAGATTGAAATCCCAACAGTTATCTGAATCTGCTTTTTGAGAAGCTAGGCTTCAACACATCTGGTATTCTCTAGTCTTAATTTTTAAGTACGTTTTACTGATTATGCTATTATAGTTGTCCCTTTTTCCTCCTCCACCTGGTAATCCCCCTTCCTCCAGAAATCCATCCCCCTTAGTTCATATCTATGGGTTGTGAATATAAGTTCTTTGGCTTCTCCACTTCCCATACTATTCTTAACACTCCTTCTATTTTGTACCTACCAATTATGCTTCTTAATCCTTGTACCTTTTCCCTTATTCTCCTCCTTCCCCATCCCTGCTGATTACCCTCCACGTGATCTCCATTTTTATAATTCTGTTCCTGTTCTAGTTGTTTGCTTAGTTTTTGTTTTTTAAGATTCAGTTGTTGATAGTTGTGTTTGTTGTCATTTTACTGTTCACAGTTGTGATCTTCTTTTTCTTAAATCAGCCCCTTTAACATTTCATATAATAAGGGCTTGGTGATGATGAATTCCTTTTAGCTTTACCTTGTCTAGAAAGCACTATCTGCCCTTCAATTGCACATGACAGCTTTGCTGGACAGAGTACTCTTGGCTGTATGTCCTTGCTTTTCATCACTTTGAATGCTTCTTGCCAGTCCCTTCTTGCCTGTGAAGTTTCTTTTGAGAAATCAGCTGACAGTCTTATGGGACCTCCTTTGTAGGTAAGTATCTGCTTTTCTCTTGCTGCTTTTAAGATTCTCTTTATCTTTAACCTTTGGCATTTTAATTATGATGTGTCTTGGTGTGGTCCTCTTTGGGTCCATCTTGTGTGGGACTCTCTGTGCCTTCTGGACTTATATGTCTATTTCCTTTGCCAAATTAGGGAAATTTTCTTTCATTATTTTTTCAAATAAGTTTTCAATGTCTTTCTTTTCCTCTTCTTCTGGCATCCCTATGATTCTGATGTTGGCACTTCTGAAGATGTCCCAGAGTCTTCTTATTCTCTCATTTTTTTTTTAATTCTTATTTTTCCTTCTGTATTGGTTGACTATTTTATTTCTTGCATTCCAAACCACTGACTTGAGCTCAGGCTTCCCCCCCTTCACTGTTGGTTCCCTGTGGATTTCTTGTGATACCACTAAGCATAGCCTTCATTTCTGCCCTTACGAGTTTGCTACACTCAGTGAGTTCTCTGAACATCCACATCACCAGTGTTTTGAACTCTGCATCTGATAGGTTGGCTGTCTCTGTTTCACTTAGTTCTTTTTCTGGAATTATGATCTGTTCTTTCATTCAGGCCACATTTCTTAGTCTCCTCAATTTGGCAGCCTCCCTGGGTGTGTTTGTGTGTATTAGATAGAGCTGCTTTGACTCCCTGTCTTGGTTTGTAAGGGGCAGAGCCTTTGGTATTCACCAGGGCGGAAGGAACCCTCTTCGCTGCTTTGGGGTGCTGTATGTGAGGGAAGGGTCCGAGAGGGAACAATGCTGCTTGCTCAGCACTTGCCCCATTTCCAGTCACTTCACCCACTTCCTGTATGCGACTGGTGCCCCTCTAGCTGCTGCTCTGGTGTTGGTTCCCAGAGTGGGTGGGTTTGTATACATCCTAGGACCATGGGTGCCCTTTAAACAGACTATCCTGAGAGACTGGCAGTTTCCTCCACCACCCCAATACCCACTGGTTTTTATAGCCACAAGTTATGAGGCTTTTTCTTGGTGCTGGAACCCTGGGCTTTGTGATCTGGCCTAGGGCTGGGATGGTTTTCTCCCCAGGTGTTCTTCCTGGTTTTTATCTGCCACACATGAATGTGGGACCACCTGTTCTGCTGGCCACCGCCACCTCCTTGCCGCTGCTGCCACACTGCATCCTCTCTGCCCTAGCTCCCTGTCTCTGCCCCTCCTACCTGTCTGGATGAGTATTCTTTAAATCTTGGTGGTCGGAATTCCACACAGTTTGATTTTCTGGCAGTTCTGTGTTTTTTTTTTGTTTTGAGGTTAGCTGTGATCCTCCTTATGGTTGTGCGAGGAGGCGAAGTATGTCTACCTACGCCTCCATCTTGGCCAGAAGTCCTAGTATTCTCTAGTCTTAATCTTTGAACAGGTCTATTGAAAATTGTTTTGTTTTTGAAATGAATGAAAATCTGTGCCCTAGTAACTTACCCACTGGACTTTTTGTTCTACCTCCTTAGAACCATCACAGAAAACAATCGTAAGACACTGCTCCATGAAAAAAACATTAATGTGAATGTCGTCAAATTTTTAGATGGTTGACCTATATTTTATAAGCCTTGCCAGGATTGATATCTTGGGTGTCAGTTTTTTCCCAAAGGTGGCACAAAGGGCTGCTGAAATCTGGGTTACCTATGAACATTCAGGAGGGAAAAACTCCTAAAGGAAGAACAGTTTTTTATAGTTATTTTAGGACAAAAAGTAAATCAGTGCTTCTTTTCAAATTCTTCTAACTCTTGAGACATTATACTACTCTAATATATATAGCTTCACAGGGGCTAAGAAATCTCAAAAGGGTGGGGAGCTGGGGCAGGCAGGTGTGCGCTGATCACTCAGAAGGACTAACACCACGAAGGACGCACAGGACACTCAGGCATGTGCTAGAGATAAATGAACATAAACAAGTTTTAGTTCAGTATAAGAACTAATAGCTGCTAAGAAGTGTTGGATAACAATTAAAAAAAACTGACCTCAATGGTTACCCGAGAATCTTCTTTATTTTTACCATTAAAACAATTCACTGCTCTATCTTCTTTCTAGTTTCCCCTCAATCAACTAATCTCAAAGGTCTTAAATTGGTAAGAAAAGAAATGGTTGATAAGGAGATATCTGGTTGCCTGCCTGAAGGACAGGGTTCCATACAGAGTTAGGTCTCTGGGGCTAATGATGTAAGGGGTCCCCCATCCAGTTAAGCTAGAAAGGGGTAGTGCTATTCAGTGTGATGGGGCTTTAATTATTTATTAGTATCAAAACCCTGTAGGCCTAAGGAAGTATCTTTCTAGCTTTAATGTTTAGGCCTTCTTTCTTCCCAATGGCAACCCTACTGATGGCATATATTTTCCTAGTTCCTCAACACACAGCCACGAGTCATCTGCCTGGTGTGCCTGGGGGACACCTCAGGAGATGGAGAGTCAGCCGTGTTGCCAGGCACGGCACTACATCAGGGGAAGGAAGTGGACGCTGCCATGTGCATGTCATACAAGTTTCTATCGTACTGTATTTCTGAGTAAAAATCCACAATCTTACCTGAACACACTCTTCTAGGTCCATCTTTTCAAGCTCATGGCAATTCTATAAGATACAAAAGCAAACATTACAATACAAACATTTAAAATATGGGAAATGTTTAAGGCCAGAAAACTAAGTGGTATTAAATATCAATTTGCCTGAAGGCAAACACCATTCCCCTTGTCCCGTTACATTGGTCCAAGACAGTTATAACCCAATATACACCTGCATTTCCAGAACAGTGCGTATTCTACAAGCCTGTAGCTGCTGCATGAGACAGCTCAGGAACACCAGCTGCAGGTAAAGGGCCCCACATCCCACATCCTCAATTCTCCACAGATGTGATTCTCCCTCCTTGCTCATTCTTTTGAAATAAAAATCCCAAACAAAACCTACACAGACCCTGAAGAAAATACTCACCCTGGCCAATGTGGTAAAGCCCACATCTGTTAATTGAGAACACCTTGCCACTTCTAATATTCTGTTAAAAAACAAAGCAAAAGTCAAGCCCTTGGTCCCTGAAAACGGCATTTATTTAAAACAGCAAGAATTTAAGAAAACAACCTCCTATTCCCTAAGGAACATATAATGTAGTGACATTAAAGGCTAAGCAAGTCTGTATAGAGATCTTGCCATTCATTTTCATTGAGTCATCATAAAGTGATCTTGTAAATAGCACATTTCAGAGTGATGCAATCAGAAGAATACAATAGAAGCTTGTAGTTAATGCCAAAATGTATGAGAAATGCATTTAAAAGGCTTCTTGATGGCATATTTGCTTACCCCCAGAGGGCAGCCTGCTCCTAGAACACGGAAATGCAGATACTCTGTTAATCTGTTGCTAAAGTAAATTATTCTCTTTCCCTATTTTACACATAGGTCTACTCAGATTTAAGCAGATTTTAAAAATGTAATAAAGAAACTGGTTAATTACAGGACTATCCCAAATATGAAATTCCATAGCTATGAAAAAATACCCTTAAGCTTCCTCCCATAGGCTCCCAGGGAGGCCCAGAGGCCAGGGAAGCTGAGCTGGCAGCCACTCTCCTACTCAGGAATTGCTAAACACCAACCTAAATACCCAACACAGGATCGGGAATCAAAAGTAGCTTTTCTATCCTGGCTGGTGTGGCTTAGTGGATTGAGCGTGGGCCTGGGAACCAAAGGGTTGCCATTTCGATCCCCTGGGCCACATGTCTACACATGCCTGGGTTGCAGGCCAAGTCCCCAGTAGGGGGTGCACCAGAGGCAATCACACATTGATGTTTCTCTCCGTCTCTCCTTCCCATCCACTCTCTCTAAAAATAAATAAAATCTTAAAAAAAAAAAAGCTTTTCTGGGAAAATTTTCATGGCATCTGCATGATAGTACCACAGAATATTTGTATGTTTGCTTACAAATTACTTACAGAAGTTAAAAAAAACTCCACTAACATATAAGAAAGCATTATCAACCGACAATCAATTAGAAATGAAATGCTGTATCTAACGGAAAAGCATGAACTGATTGAACCCAACACAAGTATCGCATTTGAGACCCTTTCTGTTCTAACAGTCAGATAAACCATGGAGTAGGAGGAGGAAGCTGAACGAGCATCCCTCTCTTTAAAACAAAAAGGGAACAGGCAGTATTTTCAGACAGAGTTTGGCTATTTCCTTAGCTCTTGAATAAACCTCTGTAGGCTTCCAACATTACTAATTTTGATCAACAAGTCTATGACCTATTAAGGAATTTTGATATTGTAGGCAAATTTTCTTCTACTAATTATAATTAGGTCCATGGCCAGGTGATTACAAAAAAAGTTTTGAAAGGTTTTACTGGTTCAAATGATTATTACATGTAAAACAAGTAGTTTAATGGGTTCTGAAGCAAGATGCCTGGGTTTGTGTCCTTGCTCCTGCACTTCCTAGCTGTGAGACCCGCACAGGTTACCTGACTTCTCTGGGCTTCAGTTTTCTCATCTATAATATGGAGGTAATAACAGTGCTTATATGGTGTTTAAAGATTAAATAAATACTTGTGAATCATTTAAAACAACTGCTGACATGTCCAATATAAAAGTACAAGTTTTATTTAGAAAAACAAAAAAGGTATATGGAGATTGAACAGCACGCTGTGTGTTCTTACAGGATCAATATTGGTTTGATACCATATGCGTGCTAACACAGCATTCTTTTTTTCAATTGTATTTTACTGATTATGCTATTACAGTTGTCCTGATTTCCCCCCCTAACACAGCATTCTTAATATTTAGCCAATCCTATATTTAGCCAGATATGTGGAGCCATAAAGAAATACAGCTTGCTGTAAAATACCATTCATCAGCATAAGGAAGGTTCTCCTTTGGGGCTGTTTTTTTTTTCAATACTCTCTGCTATGCACCTTGCATCATTATTACAATATAAGTAACCAAAGAATAGACCTTCAAAATCTTTCTTCAGGAAGGAATTACAGATACTCCTTGACCTGTAATAGGGTTATGTCCAGACAAATCCTTCATAAGTTGAAAATAATGTTAAGTTGAAAATGCATTTAATGCCCCTAACCTGCCAAACATTATAGTTTAGCTTAGCCTACCTTAAATGTGCTCAGAACACTTACATTAGCGTACAATTGGGCAAAATCACCTAACACAAGCTTATTTTATAACAAAATGTTGAATATATCTGTAATTTATTATGTGTATTGCTTTTGCACCATCTTAAAGTCAAAATCATAAGTTGAACCATTTCAAGCCAGGGACTGTCTATTAAAGCATTAATTAGAAAAAATGCCTTTATTTCTTTCCTCAAGCAGTAAGGTAAAATGATTTTTTTCCTAGTATGTATAGCAGGAAGCAGAAAATGGGGACTATTATCTCTTAATGCAGGACAATTATATGCAGTCAAATAAAGTATAAAGCAAGGAGGGCATCTAAAAGGTTAGTGGCCTTTCAGGGTCTACCTTAAAGATTTCAGGGTTCCAAGGAATAAATATAAGCGAAGGAGGCCTCTGTTCTTTTCTCGACTTTTTGAGCTAAACAAGAAATGTTTACCTAAGCCGTGGACAGTTCTGACCTAGAGCATTCAGGATGGCATCTGTGATGTTGGAGCAGCCGGAGGCACAGAGGGACTGTAACTTATGGCACCCTCTGCATATAGTAATGAGACCTTCATCTGTGATTTGCTAAAAAACAAGAGCAAACAACCCCCACACATATTAGTAACTTAGCAGAACAAAATGAAGGGAAAAAAGTTATCTCAGTGAAAATAAGTACCAAAAAGAAGTAAAAGCAGATTTAATATTAATCAAGTAGCAGACATAAAAGAAAATGAATATACTTTGTTTCTTCCTTCCAGTTCCTTTTCATTAAGTTTGCAAGAGAATCTGTGCCCATTTGGGGGATAAAGGGAGGAAACTATAATAGATTCTTTTACTGGGAATGGCATGGGGCACATTATGGTGTGGATTCAATTAAGTGGTTTTAAAACCTACAAAACAAGAGTGGCAGTATTTTAATAGTATAAACACATGAACAAGTTCAAAATTGATACTAAGTTACTAAAAACATAAAACAACCTGTGGATGGCAGTTGCAATCTTGTATCAACCATAAATCCATTTATTTCTGTATTTTTGTTTTCTAGTGAGGAATATTCTAATTTATGGAGATAAACAGTTGTGTCCAACTCAAATACAGTTTTCTATGTTATAAATTATCTTAAAATGAAAAAGAAAAAAAGATATTACATTAAAAAAAAGTCATATAGGCCCTGGTGGGGTGGCTCAGTTGATTGGAGCACCATCCCGTACACCAAAAAGTTGCAGGTTCAATTTCCAGTGAGGGCACATACCTAGGCTGCGGGCCTGATCCCTGGTTGGGGTGTGTATGAGAGGCAACCGATCAATGTTTCTCATGTACATTGATGTGTTTCTCTCCCCAACCTCCCAAATCAATAAGCATGACATCAGGTAAGGGTTAAAAAAAAAAAGTCATGTATAAATGTCTTAACACGTTGGATATGATCAGATGTAACCAGAACTCCAATTTGCCCTGCTAGACTAAGTCTGAGTGAGCCTCAGAAAAGCTCTCCTGTCATCTCTGTTTAACCGGTGTCCTTAAACTGCAAGGACGGCTGGGGGAAAAAAAAATCCAGGCTTTAAAGAGTCACTGCTTAAACCAGCCTTTTCTCACTACTGTACAACTGAAACAAAATACAGCTAAAAATAGAAGTTAAGGCAGATACAAGACTTGCCATAAGGACAAATTAATGGGGTATATACACATGTGAAGAAGCTAAGAAAGCGCCACACAAGTGTGATGTATCACTGGTGCTAGAAGAGGACACCAGAAACGTACAGAGGGAATCAACAACCCGACGAGAGGATGTGCCCAGCCAGTGGAACTTGTGTCACACAGTATTAGTCAAGTATTGTAGGGCTGTACTGTCTTTTCCTTTTTAATGTCTTTTAAAATTTTATTGAATTTATTGGGGTGACATTGGCTTATAAATCCTTTTTAAAGTTTTAAAGTCTATAAGGAATTACTGAGGAAGAAGAGAGGAGAAAAGTCAGTCCTATTACCACTATTTTAAATTTTTAAAAAGAATAAAATTTAGGCCACCGCTGGTGTAGCTCAGTGGATTGAGCGCCAAGCTGCGAGCCAAAGGGTTGCTGTTTCGATTCCCAGTCAGGGCACAGGCCTGGGTTGCGGGCCAGGCCCTGACCCAGTATGGAGTGTGCGAGAGGCAACCACACATTGCTGTTTCTCTCCCTCTCTTTCTCCTGCCCTTCCCCTCTCTGTAAAAATAAATAAAATCTTAAGAAAAAGAATAAAATTTACTGAACGCTTATGTTTTCAAATTAGTCAAGAAAAAGAGAATGGGTAAAGAATGTACTTTGGTCACTTCAGTTTGTGCAGGAACGTGAAGTCCTGTGAATGTTGAGAATCACATTTCCTCACATTGTAAGAAAGAAATGACAGAGTGACTCATGCCCTAATATCTGAGTGAAGGAAAACAGTACAATAAACACATGAGAGAACTAGTTCTTTATGCTTATCAACTATGATTTCTGTCTGTTGGAATGGCAAAGGAAATTAAACTAAAAGAGTAAATGATAGGAATGGTATATATGTAATAATTATGCGCATGTGTGAATGTGCATGCAACATACTCATATATGCACATATATACAGAATGTGTGTGTGTGTGTATATAAATAAAATCTAGATGCCCCAAACAGTTTTTTCCTGCCACTGTAAGATGAAGGTTATATAAAGCACCTATAAAAGAAAAAAAAAGATGAAGGTTATATGCTTACAATAGTTGTATAAGCTCTTTCTCTCAGGCCAAATATTTCAGTTTCATAAATGAAATTATGCAAATTCTGGTAGTTAGCAGCTATGGCAATCAGAATTGAAAGGAAGAGGTGGTCAGAATTAAAAAAGAATGTCATTCTTTTAATTCAGTCTCCAGAAGCCACTTAAGCAGATCATTATCAGAGAGCACAACCCTGGAAGAGCTGGAAGGGCAAGTTGCTTAAATTGCACAAAATGTAGCACCTTTAAAGTTATCACATTTTTTAAGAAAAGATTTTATTTTCAGAGAAAGGGAGGGAAGAGAAAAAGAGAGGAAGAGAAACATCCATGTGCAATAGACACATCAATCGATCGCCTCTCGCACGCCCCCAACTGGGGAACTGCTTGCAACCCAGGCATGTGCCTTGACTGGGAATCCAACCTGTGACCTTTCAGTTTGCAGGCTGACACTCAGTCCACTGAACCATACCAGCCAGGGCTAAAATTACCATTTTTATACCCAACAGCCACTATGCTTTCAAGCTGTAGGTGGTTAAACAAGAAGGGGAGAGTATAATAAGCAAAAGGCTTAGTAAAAATAAGGAAAACCCTCACCAACTTTTTCACTGCTAAGAGAGGCTCTCACTCCAAAGCAACGCACATATATACTTCTCAAGGCAATATAAAAAAGCTGAAGACATATTGTCAACATTCTAGGACTGTGAATAGTTTCAACAAATTCTCTAAGTAAAAACTGAGGAGTTCTGGGACAGACACATAAAAATTAGTAGTCTAAAAGAAACCAAATGTGAACTACAAATACTACTTGAATATAATTTACAGGGCACATTTTGCTTGTCATCTGTTTAGATCAGTGGTTTCCAATAGTTACAACTCACTGACAGATCTTAATTGGTGGGTTGCAATTAATTTACCAAACATACTTTATATACTGAAGTTTGTAAATAATTAATTCTAAAAAGTATTCTTAAGTAGGAAAGAAAGGGGTGAAGTTATAATTAGCCTATTTGAAATTCTGAATAAGCTACCCGCTTGTCTGTGTCAAAACCCCTGGAGTATCATCAAGCAGGTAAAGAATCAGCTGTGTCTACTGTGTCCCCAGGGTTGAACTAGAAAAAACCACTGGTTCTTACAGTGATAATACAGAAATTGATTAGTAATACAGAAAGGCTATAAGGAGGACTGCTTACTAAGCAGGTCTGCAAGTTCAAAGTCACCAGTTCAGGACAGTGTGCACCTATGTACTTGAGGGCTTCATCTTCTAGCTAAAAGATTAAAAAGAGAGAGAAAAAAATGATTACTGACATTGTTTTAAAGGACAGAGATTTAAGCACACACACTCATCAACACAGTCTAAATACAGCCAACCAAGCTTCAAAGGAACCACGACGCATGATTACATAAAGGTGTAATTCACATGATCAGTATTGTGGGTTTTTCTTCTGACAGATATGCTTTACAGCATTTTGCTGAGCGTTTATGAAACTGAAAGAATTTTCACATTTCTACACTCCCTACATTGTGGGGAGCAGGAGCCGGGAAAAGAATCCACAGTTTATCTGCTGCTGGAAGATCAGTGCCAGGAGTACAGTGCTGAGAACAGATGGCAAGTAATTGATTATAACGATGCATTCCAATCAATATTTTTCAGGCTTCCATTAATAACTAGAAGCTCAAGCTGTTGTTTTATGATAGTCATACTTCCAAAGTTCTGTTTCAAACAATGGAACATCTCCCATCACAGTGAAAGAATGAGGGCATTTTCAATCGAATCCAAGGCATGGTTTCAATAACCATTAAAAATATAAGGTAACAAGAGCCTAGCCCTACACTTTGTCAGTCACGCCTCAACCCACTGATTTCCATGCCAATTCCTTCCAGTAATATTTTTAATGGCAAAATTAGTTGGATTTGTAATGTGACCGGCAGGAAATAAGCATCCACGCTGTAAAATGTAGGTTTGCTGTATACTCGACACATTTAAGAAAACCTTCTGGTGGTTTAAAAACAAGCGGAAACTGCCAAGCCGCCTTCCTCGCCTACCCAGCCCAAGGTCTGAGGCAGTAAGGACACGGCAAGTTTTCCTTCCAGATTCAACTGTGTGAGACCCTTCTTGCCTATGGTGCTTGCTCAAAATGAGTTTTGTCTCTCCAGGCTGCCTCCCCTAAAACCAAAAAGTTATCTTTGGTCAGATGTTAATTCTTCTCTCTTTTTCACTCTAAAAAACCCACTAATTTTTGGTAAACACATGTCTTTGGCCAATAGTACAAAACAATTCCATATTCTTTAGGTTAACATCTTGGGGCTGCCTGTAAAGTTTATGCTTTCTCTATCATTCTCTATCATAAGCACCACATGGAGTATTTATTACCTGTGTGCAGCCTTTTAAGAATAAGGCCTTGAGACCCCCACAGCCTCTCACTAGTGCTTGGATGCCATCCTTGGTTACTTGGTCACACCAGGAAATGTTCAATTGCTCCAATAGTGGACATCCCTCACTTGGGATAAAAGAAAATGAAACAAACATATGACTAAATCCAATTTCAAAGATACCAAAGTCTCATTTTATTGGCTTAGTCAGGAAATGGATAGAGCCCCATGCTCTCCCACAAGAATATACATGTTTATTTAATGTAGATTTAGAACACAGGAAATCCCATAACAATAAAAGCGGGCTTAGCAATGTCTGTGGTGTTCATGTGGAACTGTATCACTAGGAGGGCTAGCTCAAATCCAGCTTAACTAGCAAGCGCAAACCACAATACTGTTTTACAGATATAGCAGATTTTAACGGAGGTTTATACATTGCAAACTATATTCTTTTTGCACTTATCACATACTTGTAAGTTCTCTAGATAGGAAATGAAAATTAAGTGACTTCTTCAAGTTAACTAAGTAATTAATGAGGAATGTAGAGTCAAACCTAGATTCTCTATCAAATAATTCTATTACTTATAAAGTACTAACAAGGGCATTTAAACTTTTATTTAAAAAATTAGGGAGGATCTGTAAATTTTCCTTATCTGGGAAGTATTTAAAGTACTATTTCCACAGGATGAATTTAAGATATATTGTATCTGATCTCTGGCTTCTACCAAATACTAGCTTCATCTTTGATCTTTGATTTCAGATTTGAAGTACGGAAGAGTCCCAAGCTCTACGACGTTCTCTGGAGAACACTGATTTAACTGTTTTCTAGTGTGACTCCAGGCAAGTCACTTTAGGAAGTTTGCCCAGAACCTCTCCTTAATCTAAGATTAGCCACAGCCATTTCTGTGTTCTCCCCAAACTGCTGCACGTCTGTCACAGCACTTAACCACACGGTAAGATGATGATGTGTTTAGTGTTTTCTTTTCTCACCAGACTCTGAGCAACACAAGGGTAGTGACAATATCTTATTCAGTCACATCCCATGGTTGAATCACATTACCTGGCATTCAAAAATGTTTTAGACTTTCTATCTGTAAAGTGTCTGTCCTGTCCACATCTACCTCACAAGGTTTTCAAATAAGTGAAAATCATTTATGTGAATGTTGTAAACTATAAATGTTGTTGTATTATTCTATTATCCTACATAGCAAGTCTTAGACACATATTTGCTTAATATAAGGAACATCTAGATTTTTAGATTACTTATACTCTACTTAACTAAATTTACATTTCTTCTTTTAATAGCTTAATTCTTACTATTTATAAATGTAACCAATATATGGGACTATAAAAGAATGACAAAAAGTAAAGTTGTAGGTGTGGATACATGGAACAGACTGACAGCTGCCAGAGGCAAGGGAGAAGGGGAGAAATGGATGAAAGAAGGTGAAGGGGTAAGTCGAAGAACATATTTGCACAACCCATGGACACAGACAGCGGTGTGGTGACGGCCAGAGGGAAGCGCGTGTGGGGCTGGGTGGAGGTGGGCAAAGTAGGGGGAAAGGGGGACATCTGTAATAGTATCAACAATAAAGTTAAAAAAAGTAAAGTTACAAAGTGAATGAGCATTTCATCTTCCTTTTTAAGATACATTTTCTGTAATGTACTTTAAAAAAATACATTAGCATTAAAATAATTAAAACTTATGAGTGTTTACACTCAAGTGCTAAGCAATTGATATATATTAGATTGAAACAGATAAAACTTTTATTTATAAGACAAATGCTGTTGGAATATTGGCAACTTTATACAGTCTGGCTTAGTATTTTCAAATAATGATAATATTGTTTAATCTTAATAACAAATCTATGAGATGATAAGGAAAACCACACAAGGTTTACATTTGCCCAAGGTCAATAGCCTGACTCCAGAGTACTGTTTTAATCACTAAGCTATAATATGTGTCATTTTGGGGGAGGGGAGGAAGCCTTCATAAAAATCTAACCATTCAAGTATAAATTATACTCCTCTGTTTAGAAATCCTAGTCACCTCTAGTCATTTTACCTGTCTGGAGTTTGGCCTACTGATAAAACAAAAGATCTATTCTAAACTGCAGTATATATGCATAAAACAGTTTCCTTTAATTCCAACTTTATGCCAGTTATTTAAAAAAAAAAAGTATTTGTTCTGATTATTGGATAATCTTATTATAAGAAATTTACCTCAGAGCTTTTAGAGACATGTTTGTTATTGATGTACAGGAAGCCAAGTCAAGGTGCCTGAGTTTGGAACAGAACTTGCTAAGGCTAGTACATGTACTGAAAAATGGAAAAAGGAGAAAATAATAAACAAACAAATAACACATCCTTAGTATATCATACACGATTCTCATTCAACACATGTGTATACATAAGAACTGTAAAATTTCCATACCCCCAATAAAAGCAGTTATAAATTCTGGGATCTTTCACGTTAAGGAAGAGACCAGTGCCATTTACAAAAGATGAAAAAGGCTGTCATGTATGAGGATTTGCGTGAGGGGAAGATGGTACTTTATTTGTATTTGAAAACCGTAATACCCATTAGCAGCAAACTGCGTATGTGCCGGTAATAACTCTACATGCATTTTGCAAATCCGGGAACACCAGAAAGCTAGCTAGTACCAGACCAGCTAGCAAGCAGAGACATGAAGACTGAAATCTCTGCTCAAGATAACATGTTGCGTGGCAGTAGTATAATTGGATTTTTGCAAGATATACAGAGGATGGACCAATATGGGGCCGAAACAAGCTAAGTTATGTAACATTACTTCCTACTTTCGTTTATGAATATCTTAAGGCTCTTTTTCTGCAGTGGTCGAGTTCTCAGTTTCATTTTTCAACTTATGAAAAATTTCAAATATACACAAGAGTGAGTAATAGAGAAAGCAATATGTATCATCATGAAGCTTCTATATTTATCAATATTCTACTAATTCTATTTCATTCATTTCCCTCCTTTTTCATTCTAGCATTTTAAAGCAAATTCCAGGCGTATTTCACCTGTAAATATTTCAGGCAATATTTCTAATGGACAAGGATTTTAATTCCTTAATGTCTGATATCCAGACTATATTCAAGTTCCCCCAATTCTCTCATAAATGCCTTTGTCAATCTGATTTGGTCAAATTAGGATCCAAGTAAGAGCCTTACATTCTATTTGGCTGCTATGTTCCTTAGGTTTTTGTGTGGACGTATGCTTCCATGTCTCCTGGCTAGACGCCTAGGAGAATTACTAGGTCCTATATACTAAGTTTATGTTTGACTTTTTAAGAAACTGCCAAATTGCTTTCTAAAGCGGCTGTACCACTTTAGATTCCCACCAGCAACCTATGAAGGTCCCAGTTTCTCTACATCCTTGCCAACACCTGGCACTGGTCTCTCCTTTTTTGCTTATGGCTATTTTAGTGGGTATGGAGTGTAATCTTGTACTGGGTTTTTATTTTGCAATTCTGTAATAAACATACAGCATTGGCTAGCTAGAATCTCCAATAGAATATTAAATAGAAATGGCAAGAGTTAACATCCTTGCCTTGCTTTTGACCTTAGGGTGAAGGATTCAGTCTTTCAGCATCAAGCATGATGGTTAGCAATAAGTTTTTCATAGATGCCTATGACCATATTGAGGAAACTCCCTTCTATACCTAGTTTGTTCAGAATTTTTTTTATCATGAATGGGTGTTGGATTTTTTCACGTGCTTTTTCTACCTAATGATGTACTAGTTACCTATTGTTGCATAACAAATTGCCCCAAAGTGAGCGGCTTATGACAACAAACATTTATTATCTCACAGTTTTTGTGGGTCAGGAATACTGGCACAGGCCACTTAGCAGGGTGCCTCTGACTCAGGCCTCTCACAAGGCTGTAATCAAGGTATTGGCCACAGCTGTAATCATCTCAAAGGTTAACTGGGTACAGATTCCCTTCCAAGCTCATTTAAGTAGCTTTTGGCAGACCTCAGAAGATCCAATTCCAAGTTTACTCATTTGGTTTTTGGTAGGGTTCAGGTCCTCACTGGCTGTTGCCCAGAGACCTCAGTACCCTGCCACTTGGGCCTCTCCACAGAACTACTCAAAACAGGGCAACGTGCCCTACTCCCCACCAAGTCAGAGCCCTGAGAAAAAGTAGAGTAAGACAGAAGTCGCAGTCTTTTTGTAACTGAATCTCCAAAGTGACATCCAATCTCTTCTGCGGTATTCTATTGTTAGAAATGAGTCCTTCGGTCCAGAGCATGCTCAAGGGGAAAGGATCACACAAGGGTGCGAATACTAGGAGGAGGCAGGAAGTACTCGGGGGCCATTTTACAGACTAGCATACTGAGATGATCGTGTAGTTTTTGTTCTTCACTCCAGAAGGCAGTAAATCTCACTAATTGCCTACTGTTGTACAGCCCACAATTCAGGAGTGGTTCTGATATTTTTAAATGGTTAAAAGAAAATCAAAAGATACTATTTTGTAACCTGAAAATTCTATGACATTCGAATGTCAGCACCCAGAAATAGTTTTACTGGAGCACAGCCATGCTCATTTGTTTATGTGTGGTCTATGGCTGCTCTTGTAAAACACTGGCAGGTTGAGTAGTCGTGACAAGGACTGTATGGCCAACAAAGCCTAAAACATTCTCTTATTTGACCTCCTATATAAAGTTTGCTGGCCCTTACTTTATTCTACTAATTGAGATATTATATTAATTGATTTTCAGATGTTAAAACACACTTGTATTTCTGGGATAAATCCCACTTGGATATGATCCAAAACTCTTTTATATGTTGCTGGATTCAGTTTGCTAAAATTTTTTAAAGTATGGCCCCAGCTGGTGTGGCTCAGTTGGTTGGAGCATCGTCTGTACACCAAAAGGTTGGGGGTTCAACTCCCGGTCAGGGCACATACCTAAGTTGCCAGTTCTATCCCCGGTTGGTATCCTTCAGCATACAGGAGGCAACCAATTAATGTTTCTCATTCACATCAACACTTCTCTCTCTCCCTTCCTCTCTCTCTCTAAAATCAATAAACATAAGAAAAATAAATATAAAAGAAAAAAACAATAAAATATGTTTGTATTTCTGTTCTTGAGAGATATATATTAGTAGAGTTCTTTTTATTGTGATGTCTTTGTTTGCCAGCTTTGGTATCAGAAAAACACTGGCTTCATATAATGAATTATGAAGCAGCTCTCTCTTTTAAATGAATGAGTTTGAAGATTGGTATTATCTCTTCTTTCAATATTTGATCACAATTCGGGGAGACCAACAGATATATAAAGAAATAATATCCTGGCAACTCTTCAGTTTACAGTTTCCCTAGTGTAAATTGTTCTTTCCTTATTAGACGTTCTTGGCCTAGCTTTGTGGGGTGTCAATATGTGCATATGTAAGTTTACTATTCGGTCAAACCTATGTAATTACTGTAGACATTTACTGAGTAGTTCCTTCCTTTCGAGACAAATTCCAGCCACCTCTGTCTCCCTGAATTCTAATCTCTTTCTCTTCAAATCAGCCAGAATCTTGTGCTCTGCTTGAGTTCCTTCTCCTTGTGCCATTATCTGGAGAATGTGGCCAAGCAGAGAGCCGGGGTAATCACAGGGCTCATGTCGTGTGTTTCTCATTCCTGTCCTGCATGCTGTCCAGCACCTTAAATCTATGAGGTGCCTTCTATGTTTCGTACAGTTTAACTGCTTTTTACAGCAGGAGGGCAGTTAACTGTCATGGTCAGAAGTAAAAGTCTCCATCTTTCATCCTTAAAGTTTGTATCTTTTTCTTTTATATTATGTTTAAATTGTTGTTTCTAAAATTACTAGAACGAGCAAAAATCTGAACACTGATGGGGAGCTATTTGATGATTTTAAGATATTTTTTTTTCACAGGAATGATGAAGTTAATGTGTTTTGGTTAAAAGTCTTTTAGAAATGCATATATGATATCTAGGACATTTTTCAAAATAAGATAAAATGAAGGGGTAAGATGACACAAAACTAGCCATAAAGTGATCATTTCTCAATTATCAATGTGAAGATGGCTGATGGATTCAATTTTGTCTACTTTGGCATATGTTTAAAATTTGTTCTAAGAAGTCAAAAGTCAGTAGAAGTTAACTTCTCTCTGGTGGTTTTAGCTGCAACTTGACATGGCTGGGCTCATATTTGGTTTACAATTGATTACTTTTTTAGTTTAATTTATATTTTAATTAGGAAAAACATTTGCATGGGTATTAAAGTAAAACTATTAAACCATGACACTTCAGGTCTTCCTTTCATCCCTGTCTCTTCATGTTTTTTCTCTCCCCCATAAGTAACTATTTTTATTAGTTTTTAATTACATTTCCATTGTTTCTTCTAGAAAATATTAATAAATATGAACATATATTTGTTTTACATCCCCTGGCCCTACAAAAGGTATCTTTTTATACAAGTTCCTCTGCAGTCTGCTTTCTCAACAATATGTCCTGGAGATCACTCCAGAGTACTACAGAAAGATTTTCCACATTGCTTTTTTTTTCTTAAAACATATTTATTTGTTTATTTTTTAGAGAGAGGGGAAGGAAAGGAGAAAGGGAGAGAAACATTTATCGGTTTGCCTTTTGCATGGCCCCAACTGGGGACCTGGCCTGCAACCCACTGAGCCACACCAGCCAGGGCCTCGGTTCCTTTTCTTAAACAGTCCTCTGCTGATAGACATTTGGATTGTTTTCTGCCTTTTGTTATTAAGAATAATGTAGTATTTGTTGTTATAAACAGTAAAAATGAATACAGCCTTGTACCTCAATCTTATATTTTTGCCAGTGTGTCTTTGGTATAAAAATTTCTAGAAAAATGTGTAAATTGTATGTCACTTTTTAGATACCTAGTGTTCAAATTCTAAATGTCTACAACATTAAATATTCAAAGGAAAAACAGAAACAGGCTAATTTATCTAAAGTAAATGTTGGGCTACTGGCATCGAGTCACAGTCAGGGTAGGGCTTAGTAAATGATCTTATCAAAGATTCCAGGTCAACCCATAGGAATAATACCTACTTAGTAAAAAGCCATAGTCCTTGTTAACAATATCGTGACCTCAAAGAAAGGGATAAAATAAACAATGTCTACACCCTGTGCTTGGAGTATCTTCTACTATCCTTCACTCAAGCAGTTCTAACAATACCATCTCTTTTACGAGGACTTTGGAACATGAAGATTCAGTGAATCATCCTGGCCCTTCTCTATGAAAGCAATGCTTTTTCCTCAATGACTTCACCTCACTTCCCTATAGGCAGCAATTTCCCTACATAATACTGAAATGTTATCTGATACATGTTATTACCAATAGATATCCTTGGGCTTTTTTATGTCTACCTTCAATGTCTATTGTGTCTGTGATTATACACTCACAAGGATGAAGGATCAAGTTTTATTTCTTTTATGTTGTGGCCAACACAAACACAGTACATTTAACGTTACTTAATGAATGGTGTCAATATCAATTATCACAAGTTGTTTACTCTTGTTTTTTAAGATTTACATCTTTTTATAGAATTATTTGTTTACCTTTACTATGTCCTTTGAATGATAGCTACTAGTATCTTCTTGAAATACAGGTTTTCCTAGTAATTAATGTATTATTATCATCTTTACTGCATATTCACTATAATTTTTAAGTTTCCCTCAAAATATCAAAATAGGATTTGGGCCAGATTCCAAACCAAATTTATTTCATTTCTACTCTAATGTCACTTTCTGCTTTAAAAATATCTTTCTTCTATAGAACCAAAATGAAATTTGCTAAATTTCATAGCATGCATTTAGTAGCATGCATTTCAAGCCAGTACAGGTAAAACACAGGGGGCTATGACTTACCCTTCTTAAACACAAAATACTTACGCGTCTGTAGTCTTTGTACATCCATTTAAATTTAGTACTTCAATGTTCCTACAGTTTTGTGCAAAGGTCCTTTACAGGAAAGAAACAAAGTAAAAGGTTTGAAATGAAATGCACAATTCTGGTATTAAGAAATTAACAAAAAAAGATATAAATTATTAATAGTAGTATTGGATATTAGTACAAAAGTAGTTCACAATTACAAATAAATTAATTTTCAGCCATAAATTTTTAACAAACTTTTTGATCTTTTTGTCAACCAAGGTTAAAATCACCTTAATTTTGAGTAAACAAACAAAATTCACTCAAGACTTCAAGAGAACTATTCATAACATGGAAAAGCTGGCCTTTTTGGAGGGGGCACTTGTTCTTGTTTTATTCTTAAAACCATATATATCCCACTACTAGGTATTTTTGTGTTATAAGCAATGTATGTATATTTGGGTTCAGAATACCTTAAAGAAAATTGTAACTTTATAAATAGCTTAAAATCATTTCAGCCTTTTCTGGTCCAGATGGTCTTGCTGCCTGCAGTCAGGAAGAGCAGTCAGTCAGCAGTTCCGTTCTCACCTTAGCGCATTGTCTCCTACTCCCAGACACCCGCGGAGACTTAGCTTCCGTAAAAAGCCCCCACATCTTTTTGAAATATTCTCCACTACCCGGCCCTGTAAAAAATGACAGTTAAATAAAAAGACATGCCATCATGTTAATTTTGAAAAGAATACATCCTCATTTTTATTAATTTACAAACCATTTTAAAGGCTTAGTTATTAATTAAATAGGAAAATTTCAACTTACTGTAAGAAAGCTTTCCTGATTAATGCATGTACTTGAAACATGCCTAAACTCAATACTGTTATTTATTTAATCAGTTTGTAAGATGTTCTGTATCTGAGAAAATGGTGCTCTGTAATTCTCTCATGCCTGTATTAAGATACATGTCTATGTAAGGTCTCATGTCTATATTAAGGTAGATTGCCCTTCCTGATTACACTGCAGCTGCTGAAGGATATTAACCCTATTTATTATGTCTGTATCCTTTCCAAAGTGTTCACTATAGCACTGTAATTACAGCAGAGACTCAATGAACACTTAACAAAAAGCTTGCTGAATGCCTGTATGAGCCATGGTGCTTTAAACATTCTCTTCCTAAGATTAGTAAATTGTGAAAAACATAAAAATTCAGCTTAATGTCAGTGAGTATTATTTTAAAAGCACTGTTAAAGATAATGAGAAGTTCGTGTGAGACTTTTAAAAACTTCTTACATGGATCCTCAAGACAATTAAGTTCCACTAGAACTTAAAAAAACTATCAAACTATAAATCTAAATTTAAATCTCATTCAATCCTTTTAACACAATGAAGAATCTATTATTTCCATTCTTCTGATGAGAAGACCAAGGACCACAGAGCTCAAATTGAGGTTAAAATAATTTAATCTTAAACCATTATGCTTCTCCATTTTAGAAATCATAGGCAATACCAAGAGATAAGATATAGGTGTGAAGTGAGAAGAAAAACAATTCAACAAACAACTTTGACTTTATTCTCTTTCATTCTCCACAAACACTATCTATAGGTTTTCCAAGAAACAAAATGCTCATCCTAAAAAGAATTTATGTAAATACCATACCCCAACAAGTTGACTGATTTCTTCAATAAACAAATATAAAAGACTTCCTTAAAATGAGCAAATACAGGTTTAAATTTCCACCACAAAAAAAATTCTTTTGGTCCTATTAATACAAACAGCTTAGTATTATTTCAGTAAAAACAGTTCTGCTTATTTTCAAAAAATGAGTAAGTTCTTGTGAACACTACGGGCTCCCATGTAGTTTACATGCACTAAAATTAATAGTTTGTCTCCCCAGGGAAAGGAGATCTAGGTGGTTGGGGCTAATCTGTTCCATGCTGTAATTACATTCTAACAGGAGAAATGGGGCCACACACGACGTAATTATACCTCAATGTCCCTCTGGAAATCAAACAGGTCAATTCGCTGCCAGTTACTGCCATCCAGAGCCAGAACATTCCAGGCCTATTTTGAAGAAAAAGAGACAAAATGAGCAGGAGGCAAAACAAGCAATACTGGTGTTCATAATTCAGTCTACTAATGACTGACATTGACCAAAACATTTCTCAGCCTCCCACCATTAACTCCCATAAGTCAGCCTTATTCGTACTTTATTCTCCAATTAGAGATCTCAAAAATGAGTGGATATAGAAACTAGCAGCTATATAAGATCTCAGGGGACTGGAGAAAGGACAGACTATATTAAGTATCATAGCCAGAAACTGTTTTCTGACCGGAAGATTCTAGTTTCTAATCCAAAAATGAGATAGAGTTCAGCTGATGAAAGGCAAGTCTGTTATTCTATCCCTTAACAAGGATCAAATGAGGGTGAAACCAAAGAAAGAGGACACAGTCCTCTGAATATTCTATGTTCCATATATATTTGGTCAGACTCGAAACTATGATACGGAGACGTGGAACTTAAAAAAGACAGTATCATTTCTCTTTCTACCTGACAGGGTCTTAATGCTTTTCTCAGATTTAATGAAAGCTGGCACTGTGCTTGCTTGCTTGCTTCCTTCTTTTCCTTCCTTCCTTCCTTCCTTCCTTTCTTCCTTCCTTCCCTCCCTCCCTCCCTCCTTCCTTCTTTTTTAAATTAAAGCCTCAGGCGTGTTTTTCAATTGGCCATCTTTCCCTCTAACTGGATTCAGTTGGTAGTTTTAAAACGGAAAGTTTAAGACTTCTCATATGTTTTGTCAGTAAGCTAAAAGGAGGCTTTTTGGCTTTTCAACTTTTCAGAATTAGGTGAAAAATGACTCAGTAAGAGTTAATTTGTTGTGGATCATTATGTATTTTAATCAGGAAGCCTCTAAAAGTTTTTCCTATTGAATTTAAAGTGTAAACAAAAGTTTTACTATTGTTGAGCTGTTAACTTAGAATATCACCTCTTACCATAACAATCAAAACACAGATTTGATACTGGAATTTAAAAAAGGAAACTGTGTGTACACTTACTGACCCCAGATAAGTGTCACACAACAAGCAAGAAACCTGTCAGGGGTATGAAAGTAAACAAAGTTACTATTATTCTAGAAATCTTTAAGGTTTTCTCAGTAGTTCAATGGTACTTTTCCTTTTGTAGCTTCCTGTTTTTCCAATGGTTTCTTAAATGGTTAGCATGGGAGACAAGAGATAAAACTTTTAAGAGTTCATATGTTTAACAGATTCTTGGGCTAATAAATATACGCCTGATTTGGTCTGATATTTCTCATTTCCTTACACCACTTTCTCCAGGAACAGGAAACATGCCAAACTGAGGCTAAAATTAGGAACAACAGGTTCCCTTTTAGAGCCTGTTGGGTTTTTTTTTTAAGCAAATTAATTAAATACTTCAAGTACAGAGAACAATAAGGTAACTACTGATGTACTATCCAGATTTAATGAAAACTAAAAATTGGCACTGTGCTTTTCTTTATTTAAAGTTAAAACATATTAAGAGGAAAGAGAAACCTGGCAATGAAACAATTAAAATTCACTCAAATCAATGTTGCTAAGACAAGATGGTGCAATTAAACATGTTTAGACACTGGTCTGAGTATACTGTTTCTCAGAGATGACCTCAGCTTCATATGGAGGCAGAAAGGAAACCCCACTCATTTGTATCTAGGGCAACCGCTTAAATACCAGGGACAGAGATGTCATAAATCATCAAAACACTACTGATTGTTTCCAAAATAGCTGATGCACAGATTTAGTAAGGCTTTTAGGATCAGAAATTACATTAAAGTTAGCAAAACAAAGTGAGTTTTCTCTGGCAAGTTTTGTGTTTTGTTTATTTTTTTAAGTGGCGTTGGGAAGTTGAAGGAAAACCTGGGTCGGCCTACAGAGAGAAACTCCGTGCTCTGTGATGCAACCGTGTGACATATCCAATACCCAGGACTGTACCACTGTCCAGTTCATAAAAAGATGGTAACTGTAGGCACATATCCATTTAGCAAGTTGATTATTATATATCCATATTACAGTAGGGAGCAGGAATGGTTCATAAAGCTATGTTTTTCACAACAGAGATTCTATTCTTTGTATTAAATTTTATCTATTATCTTTTGAGAAAAAAGTGTGGGGAGATAACATGAGAATTAGACCTTCAAAAGCCTTTCATATGTATATGTATGTATATAAAATGAACCAGGAACCAGGAAACGCTATTTTATTACAATTCTAAGTATAGCCTAATTTTTTATTAGTGATTTCTCCTTGAAATGTTTCCTGTTTGTATTATACAATTAGTCAAGAGCTCCAAAAAATTGCAAATGGCACATGCAGAATAGTAGAATTACATGGGTTTGGGAATGCCATGAGTAAAACAACATCCTTTGAAAGTTAACATACAACTAACAACCCAAGTAAAAAGTTCCCCTACTACATACAGAAGCTGGTATCACCAGTGTCAGGAAGGGGTGCCCCTGTAACCATGTCAACCAATCTTACCCTGGAGACCTGAGCACAGCGACACAAGGTAACAACATCCAGAAAAGAAAATATCCTAAAAAGAGATAGAGACAACTTTATTATAAGATAAAGTAGAGGAATTTATGAAGAAAAATATTGCCCATATGAAACACAGGGTGAAAGTAATCTTTTACTTGATAATGTATGTATAAGTACCATACTAGTTCAATTATATACAACAAGGGATGATAAAATATTTCGAACACAATTTTTTAAAAGATTTCATTCATTTATTTATTTTAAAAGATTTTATTTATTTATTTTTTTGGAGAGGGAAGGGAGGGAGAAAGAGAGGGAGAGAAACATCAATGTGTGGTTGCCTCTCACGTGCCCCCCACTGGGGACCTGGCCTGCAACCCAGGCTTGTGCCCTGACTGGGAATTGAACCAATAAACTGGTTCACTGGCCAGCACTCAATCCACTGAGCCACACCAGCCAGAGCTACCTTTCTTTTTTCTTTTGTTTTTAAGAATTTGAAAGTTTAATAATTACTGGCTACTTTCTGTTTTTTGTTTTTTTTTTGTTTTTTTTTTAAGGGTTGAGCTCATGAGTAATTAGTATTTGTTAAAAAATTTTAAAAGGTACCACATGAAGACCTTTGACCACATAAAACTGTTAAGGCCTCCTGTGAATTTAGAGTTATGATACTTGTCTAATGTCTGGTAAAAACTATAGCATTTTCAAAACTGCACACTTCTTTCTTTCCTGTCTTTTTTTTTTAAAATTGTTGTTCAAGTACAGTTGTCTCCATTTTCACCCCACCACTACCCCCTGGCCCTGCCCTAAAAACTGTACACTTCTTATTCCTCAAAAGAGACCATCAGTTTGAGGACTCGGTCATTAAAACTGTATGCTAGTGTCTTTATGATCAATCTACAGATATAGGTTCACTAGACCCCTGTTTTAAGGAAGAGGATTTCAGGTATAGTTATGACATTAGGGCTATTATCCATGATCTTGTGGGGAACTCTGCTAAAAGCAATATATGATATCTGTAGCTCTCACGGACTTACTTGAGCTTTGACTCTTCAGACAAGAACAAGTCAGAAATTAAGCTGTAACAGTTCTCTATACAACTTGGTTATTAATGTAACACAAAGATGACATCTTCCATACCAAGTGAACTAAAGCTGGCAGACACAATCTCTGGGAGATCAGATAATCTACCACTTCTTAAATTAGAGCTGTACTTCAACTCTCCCTTCCTTTTGAACTTGAACCTCTCTTTTTAAAATTTTTATTGAATTTATTGGGGTAATATTGGTTAAAAAATTACATAGGTTCCAAGTGTACAATTCTATAATTCACCATCTGTATATTGGAATGGGTGTTCACCATCCAAAGTCAAGTCTCTCTTCATCACCATGAACTTGAATCTCAATGGGAAACTGCTCTTACACCAGATGCACACGCCCCAGTCATAAATAATGGAAAAATAAGTTTCCTAGGTGTTTCTGAAATGATCTTATTCTCATAAATATGGAGAGGTCACAAACAACTGGTCTTGTTATCCAGGTACTTAACTATTATTTTAATCACAATTATATTCAGCAGAGATTATGCAAACCCAGTTGATTCATATCTGGAAATCCCCCGTGCGGCACACTAAATCATTCAGTTCCTCAGAGGTACAAGTAACTAATACTTGAAATAACTGTGGTCTAGGATGTGGATTGGAGCCTGAATCAGGAAGACAAAACTTTTTATCCCCCTTTCCAATAAAGGACATGAATGGTAAAACAGTGATACAATCTGTAGGTTAGATAATAGTATTGCATCAGTGTTTATTTCCTCATTTTGATTACCGTGCTGTCCTTAGGTACAAGAATATGTTTTTAGAAAATACACATTGATATCTTGAGTGTAAAAAACACTGCATCTGCAACTTACCTCAAATGGTTCACAAAAAAAAAAAAAAGAAAGAAAGAAAGAAAATGATTATGCAAGTGAGGTAAAAGTTAATATTTGGGGAACCCAAGTAAATGGTATATGGGAATTCTTTGAATCATTTCTGCAATCTTTTCAGTAAATCTGAAATTATTTAAAAGTGAAAATATAAACAATAGTCACTGGCTTAGTATCAGCTACATATATTTAATTGGGCCATGATATATTTTTCAAGCTAATTTCTACATTTGAGCTTTGAACTATAATACAATTATAAGGCAGAAACCATAAGCTTCAAGAAACTAAGTGTTAAAAACATAATTTTCAATAATATTCATAAAATTGAGCCCGATTTCTTAAGATTATTTTCTTTCTTTTCAAAAAAATTTTTATCAAGATTTTATTTATTTCTTTCTAGAGAGATGGGAAGGGAGAGAGAGAGGGAAAGAAACATCAGTGTGTGGTTGCTTCTCAAGGTCCCCAATTGGGGACCTTGCCTGCAACCCAGGCATATGCCTTGACTGGGAATCAAACCAGCGACTCTTTGGTTTGCAGGCTGGCACTCAACCCACTGAGCCACACCAGCCATGGCAAGATTATTTTCTAAATAAGGTTTTCTTCTAGGATCAAGTTTGACTCTTCAGACAAGAACAAGTTAGAGATTAAGCTATAACAGCTCTCTATACAACTTGGTTATTAATGTAACACAAAGATGACATCTTCCATTCCAAGTGAACTAAAGCTGGAAGACACACTCTCTGAATTGTGTCTCTGAATTTAACAGTCATTTAGTTTCCTGAAGCTTACGCATTTCTGCCTTATAATTGTATTATAGTTCAAAGCTCAAATGTAGAAATTAGCTTGAAAAATATATCATGGCCCAATTAAATATATGTAGCTGATACTAAGCCAGTGACTATTGTTTATATTTTTATTTTCAGAGGGCCCCCAAGAGAGCCCTGATCTAACAAAGATATGACTTTAGGGCTATTAATCTAGCTTCACAATATCAAGCTGATCAACCTGGAGGGAGCTCATGATGTTAGAATGTTTACTGGCAGAAGACAAAAAAGACTTGGGGGAAAAAAACCCCCAAAAAACAGTACCTTCGCATAGCCAGGTGGCTCTTATCTCAATACACAAACAATTCTGTGTGTACAATTACATATATAGGACACGCACATAGGCAGTGTGTCTAACACGTCTTATTAATACTCTACCATTACCATGATACTGAGGTATCACAGGAGCTTCTATTGGCTAGAAAATTTGGGGCTAAATAGGGCGGAAGTCTCCCTCTGACTAAACTAAAACATCCAATTTACTCTTCAGAGTATTTTTCATTTTTTGTTGCTCTAGGAAATGGACCATTAAGCTTGGCAATATTAAAAAAGCAAATGGCAATTATGAAGAAAAAAGCAAATCAGGGAGGAGATGAAGTTCTATAGGCAGGCGGCATCCAATTTACTAATGGACTGTGTGTGCAAAGCGTGTAAATTCTCCAAAATATGTAATAGTACAAATTACAGGGTTAGGGACAAAAAAAAATCCTATACTATACTATTATATACTCTACCAAAAAACAAACAAATAGCCCCCCCACAAAAAACCTAGAACCTCGTATCTTGGTATACCGAAATCAAAAACTATCTCAGTTAAAAGGAAAAACAATAATCTCTCCCAGGTCTGAAATGTCCTCTCCCTCACTCCCCTGCTGTCTAATTAATCAGCACTTACTCCTTAAGCATGTCTCATTTCCTTGGAAGCATTTTCTGAACTCTCCAAAGCTGGTTGTAAAGTCCTACATGTGAGCCTGTTGTAAAGCTGTTGGCCAGCAAGTTCAACCAGTGTGCTGCAAGAATTTTTAAAACATGCAATATTTGACTACTTAGTCAGGGACAAAGACCTCTTTTCCTTTAGACTGTCAAATAAAAACATAACAGCCAAAAGAACAATAGCCATTGGTGTGAATGCCCTGTCTTAAACCATACATATACAGGTTATATAATATAGAGTTGCATCTTATTAGTCACATTGCATAATAAGGTTGCATCTGATTGGTTAATTTTTGGTTATCACAAATCCTTATATACAAATATAGGCACCTGATATTTTAAAAGTCACTTTGGACCAAAAAGGGTAGGTAATTACTATTATTACTTTCATTGTAAATCAACTAAAAAATATGTTTTGGTTGTGCTACAGGGTTTTAGACATTAGTTTATGTGTGCCATGAGATGAAAAAGACCGAAATAGCTGCTCCGGGCTGACCTCCACTGCATCTCTATATTGATTATTTTCACATCTGTTTTCTACTCAGTGAGTCTCTTGAGAAAAGTGACTCTTTTTAATTTCTATACCCAACATAATGCCTGCTATATTGCAGGTACTCAGTAAATGTTTGTTCCTGTATTAAAAAGTTTAAGGGAATTCCAACTATATGACAATCTGGAAAAAGAAAACTGATGACACAGAGATCCGTGACCAGTGGTGAGAGGAAAGAGAGATGAACAGGCAGAGCACACAGGAGTTTTTAAGGCAGTAACAATACATATCATTACACATTTGTCCAAACCCATGGAATTTACAACACCAGGAGTGAACCCTAACATCAACTGTGGACTTCTGTGGGTCATGATGTGTCAATGTTCATTCATCCTTGGTATAAAAAAAACCACCCCAAAACAAAACCCACCACTCTAGTGAGTGGTATTGATAATGATGAGGGTTATGCACATATAAGGGCGGAGGCATATAGGAAATCTGCACCTTCCTCTCAACTTTGTTGTAAGCCTAAAACTCCTACAAAAATAAAATCTTTAAAAAAATAAAGAAAAAAAGTTGAAGGAATACCAAGACTTTGGTTAGCATTTGATATCTGGCTGCTAATGCAAAATAAAACACACAGTTTTGATTCTCTCACCAAAGAAAAAACATATAGATTAATTGCAGTAGCAAACACAAATGAAAATGTACCATGCATATGTTATGTACAAAAAAAATATCTTAAATATGTTTATATAAAGAGTTGCATACATAACTCTTTTGTTAAAAATCACTTATAAAATAAATTATACTGAGTTTCTTGGTATTTAATGAAATATACAGTACTTGAGCCCTGACTGGTGTGGCTCGGTTGGTTGGGCA